GCAGCTTCAAGTCTGCCATCAGCCCAGGAGAGCTGCCTTCCAACCTTGTGGTGTCCATAGTGTTGATGTTGCTGCCAAATCTCCTTTCCCCTATCTCACCTTTGACTCACTGTAAAAAGTTATTATAGGACAAATCCATGGGGCTTTAACAAATCTCCTACAAAGTGTCAGCCTCAAGCCCCCCCTCCTCTCTGCTCTCCAGTCTCCACCAGCAGCCACAAACCAAGAGTGAAGAGCATCCCAGATTTATCAGAGGAGGGCAGTCTATCTGAATGCTTCTTCAGCCCTATGCTTCCCAGACCTAGTGATGACCCTCATCTGAAAATGCCTGCAGTCTCCATGAGATAGTATCTGACTTTTTTTGCATGGCTTGTCATACAGCTGACTTGGCTGGCACTGAAGTTCCACGTCCCATGGCATTTGGGAAAGATCTGCAGTTAGCCTTGGAAATACAGCGCACAGCTGGGCCAAATGAAGAATACAAATGGATTTAGTGCATGCCTTGCTGAGGTGAGCAGGATTATGGCCCAGGTCATTGTCATCATCCCAGCTGCTGGCAGGAGAGAAAAGGGCACTCTCAGAACCACCCAATTCCCACAAATGCCCGAGTTTGTTCAGGCTGAAGAAGCCTGACTGGTACCAGACCAGACAAACCTGGACACCGGTGTCTATGCCACCTGTTTACCAACTGCCTTTCTCAATGCTGTGCCAGCTGTGAGTGGCTCAGGAAGAGATCCAATGGCACCACCAAGCTTCCCTACTAAGGCCACCTTGGTTTGGCTCTCTGAGATACATAGCCACTTAATTTTTTATCCCGGCTGGCCGCTGTCACATCTAGCTTTGTGTGCACCAGCAGCTCATCCAAGGTGAGCGCTACAGTCCCTTTAGAATGCACTTGGCCTGTCTCCATCAGGCAAGACATTAACGCAGCTTCTCAGCACATTTGTTTTCAGTGTATCAGTGATACTTTTTCACCTGTCCGCCGTGACACACTGCAGGAATGAACACTGCAAGTAAAATGCACCATGCAGCTCTTTTCACAAGACATTGAGTTTCACTAAGTCTAACTACACGTAGGCTTCTAAAGGAAGTGGCTCAGCATGCTTGAACCATGTCTGCTAAGATCACAGCCTCCTGCCCTAGCCAACTTCTAACTTCACAGGGCAGGACAATTCTCCTGTTTAAGACTTCCAGTCCAATCTGAAAATATCAGCAAAGAACGAAAGAACACAAAAGGAAGCTCTCAAGCTTTATGAATGTCTAAAGTGATGTTTTTTTCATGGCATGACTCTTCTTCACTTTTCTTGTCTAATACAAGCAGCACATGAGAATGTAGGCTCTTTCCAAGGTTTGCCTCATGCACAGTAACTGTGAGGACAAAGGATGAGTGCGGTGAAAACACAGAGACAAAAGATCCTTGCAACAAAATTCTTCTCAAATGGGGAAAGAGGAGTCCAGGAGTGGAAACCTTGGAGATAAGAATTCATTTTGGGATGGCAAAGAGGGTTCTCACATTTCTCTGATGAAATAAGAGTTCCTCAAAATGACCCAGGGTGAACACAGTGGGAGAAGAGAACAGGTAAACTATAACTTTGTAAAGTCAACAAAATACAGCTGAGATAGAATAAACAGAAAAGAAGTGGTTTGAAAGTGCTTATTGTTCACAGCCCTAGGAAAATAAGAGATCTGCTTTGTTTTAGTTATTACAGTGTCATCTGTTTTCCCTAGGTAATGAATGCTCATTTTCCATTTTATAAAATTCACTGTGATCCACAAAACATGTCTAACAAAGCTGCATTCTCTTTTTTTTGTTTGGGAAGTTATCCTGGGTGAGGTCCCAAGAATTACACACTCCACATCCACATTCCAAGGGAGGATCAGCTGGGCTTCTGCAGATACATCCTACATGGTTTTAGCATTTACAATGAAACTGGAGTTCAAACGAATTTCCAGGCTTTGCCCCTCTATTTAGAAAGATGGTCTGACACCTAATATAAACCTCCCTTTCTGCAATTCAAGCTTTTACATGCCTTATTTTATTTATATATAAAACAGTTGTCAGTGACCACTTCTGAAAGTGTTCCCCTCTTTATCCTTCTTCTATCCAGACTAACTACAAATCCTACTTTTTAAATCAGACTATCTAGACTTCCATTGTTCTTGCTTTCCTCTTGTTTCTCTGTGAATAATCCGCATCTTTCCTATAGGACAATGTCCTGCCTTCAGGGTTCCAGGGGAGGCCTTTCTAACAGCTGTCAGAATGGAAAGATCATGTGAAACTAACTCCACCACCTGCTGGATTCAGACACAGGCTATGGCAGCACCCCTGGTGAAGTGCCATGCATTCTTGAAAGCAGAGAAACCATTCACAACCACCCTGGAACGCAGACTGCTGAAAAACTGAAGCTGAAAACCATGCAGCATTCTGCGTGAACAACTTACACAGAGCAGCCTAACGCCTCCTGGGATCCACAGACTATCTACTAATTACACTATTTCACGGTTCAAAAACTTCAGCAAGCCCAAAGCGCTCAATGTTGAGCACAGTCAACATCTTCTGCACGTTTTTCAAAGCAGAGCAGCACAAAATGTACTCTTAAGAGCACTAGCAGGTCAATTAGCAAGTGTATCAGAGAATCTTACGGGTTGGTCAGTGACAGAGTAACATTAAAAGCAGGCGTAAAATCACAGTTCTGCAAACAAAATCACAGCGCAAGGAGATGGCAGTAACAGCACAGTACCTGTACTGTAATGGACTAGTAATGGAGACACTGAAGAGAGAGTTTGTCCTGCATAGTGGGAATGGAGAGACATCTCAGTGCAGCCTCTCTGGATACAGTGTATGAACTGAACGCAGCAATGTGTTAACTTTGGGGTAGGGTGTATGTTCCCCACAGGCACAAAACAATTCACCACACGGAGAGTGGTGCCCCTGGGTTTGCTCATCAGTTACACTGCACTCTGTTTTACCCATGTGAACTCCAGCACTGAGCTGTGAGACCACAGGACTGTTGTCCTTACTTCTGATCTGGGCTTCTTAGCCACTGACAACCAAGGACAGGGTGAGGCACGTTCCAGAAGGGGCAGACAGGCTTGAAAACCATCTTGAGTGCAAATGAACTTCTGGCAAAGAGCAGATGCCCAGGCCTTAAAGGATGCAAACACAGCATGGGTATTTCTCATGAAACCAAACTTCAAAATAATAATATAATATAATGGCCAGTCTTCGCGAGCGAAGATTTGGGAAAGGTCATTAACCCTTCGAGCCTGCGCAGTGGATTTTTTAGGTGAGACTCAGCGTGCGCTGAACTGAGCCCACCCTTTAATCCTGAGGTTCATCTGCCGGGGCCGAGCAAGCTTGGACAGTGGCAGTGAGGGTCTCAGAACGTAGGTTTGTTTAGAGTGACCTTCTCTTAGATGGATTGCCTCACAGGGCTAACGAGCTCCATCTGCCCGGGGGGCCTCTGGTGGTCTAGTGGTTAGGGTGCAGGACTCTCACCGCTGTGACCCGGGGGAAACTTCAAAATAGGCTCCAGCAAAAATGCACTGTGCTGTTACAATGGCTTCTAGCCATCAGACTGCATGATCGCAAATGAGGGTGAAGTGTTAGACACACAGGTAAATTCTCACTCTCTTGAAGAGCTCAGGGAAGTGCTTGTCTCATCCTAGTGTCCTCTGTCATTCAAATTTTCAGGCTTAGAACATATCCTATGCAGAGGGAAACTTCTGCATGCAAGTTTATCCTACAGTAGTTATCACCCCATGGATTCCTTCACCTGCGTTCTTCACCTACTCTGCTGTGGCAGCTGAAGAAGAAGTTGATTAATATGGAAAAATAATGGTATTTTCATGGTTAATTTACCTCTCTCAACAGGTACACTCAGGATCTTGACTCAAACCTCAGCATACTCAGATATGGAGTGGACCATGAAGTAGCAATTTGCATTAGACTAGCAGTTTGTTAGTTTACCACTGCCCACTCTATTTATTAGGGCTCTGCTATACCCTGCGTACAGTCCAGGCAGAGAGACACTCACCAGTCTCCCCAGAGGACTCCTTGCTGCTTAGCTCAGACCTTCTCCAGAACTATACCAGAGTTAGACTGAGAGTGCAAATGTCTTACATGCTTACATAGCTTGTTTACTCAGAGTATTTGTGTGCATTTTCTCTCTCCCACCCTAACATGCACCTCACCATTCAGTCCTGGTTTCCTTTCTGCCCAGTCTCCTGTACTCCTGCAAACAGCATTAAGGGCAGAATTTCTTAGCTCAGCTTGTGCACTACTTGAAATATTATACGACCAGGCGCAGCAGAGAAAATCCTGTTGCTGGCATTCATTGCATAAAGCTTTATAATACGGTGCTTAACAATCTGAAGGAACTATGGCAAGCAAACTCAAGTCTAGGCAGCAGACTATGAAATATAACCATGTCCACACCTCCTCTAAATATTTCTAAGGCCAAAAATGAAGTAGGTTCTAAAGTAGTCCAAAAATACCATGTTCAGAGGACTTTAAGCACCCATCCACATGCTTATAGGACTCTGCTTGCTCCTGTCTCCAGGGAGCAGTCCTTTAAAGTTTCTCAGAAGCAAACATGAAAACGAGCCATCAAAAAAGTGGGAAAGGAATGCTTCACATTTAGCAACTGGTCAGGGGGGTGGGGTGAGAAGGGGAGAGGAGAATTCAGAGAAATGGTATCACTGCTAAAGAACAGCAAACAGACTAGTGAGCAAACAAAGCGCAAACCCTTCTGTGAAAACTGAGCCCCACAAATGCAGTATCCCAAACAAGGCACTATTCAATGCCTATGAAGTCAAGGAAGGGGGAAAAGCTCACCAACAATGCATGTCTCTGACAACAAATTCAGAAATATTGAGGACTGCATCCATGTTTCACAAGTAATAAAAATGTTTGTTAAAGGGAGGACTACCCAGTAAGTGGCTCTGAATAATACTGTGAGATAAAAACCCCTCCAAAATTAGGAAATGATCACAAGAACAAAATTCAACATTGTTTTATTGATAAATAACTTCTTAAATATTTTAATCTAAATATTCTAGCATTACAATGGTAAACAACATGAAAATTTTCAAAAAATCAACTGAAGTCAACAGAAACCAAACTTGTTAAACAAACACAGATATTTCAGTTTTATCCCCATTATGTCTTCAAGGCCATGTAGTAGTTATATTTCTCTTCAAAGCTTGTTACTTATTTCATCACTAAGCTGCTACGTTTCAGAAGTGGTGATTAATCACTCTTTGAAAATTCCACAAGACTTTGTGACACAAAATCATGAATCCATGTATCAATATGTGGAAGTCACTATTTTTCGATCCCAAGAGTTAGTGCTTTCATTAACTGCCTGTATCTGTGCCACAAAGGGTTTCTTCTCTACAAGATTCCGAAACACTATTGATGCCTCTTCTGACCACTGCTGGTTTTTCACTCCTAGGACAAATGTAAAGCAAAACAGAAGGTCATTTATAGACTAGATCAATCTGAATTATTAAGTTTATAAAGAAGTGGGGTATGTTTAAATACGTGAGAAAACAGATGCTAAAGTGCTAATGAATGCAACTTAAATCTAGAAAAGAAAAACAAGCTCACTCATCTCCCACACAAACGAGCTTAATTATTACACAGACTAGGACATCTATTTTTTCTTGAAGTCTAAAGATATGGAGAGTGAAAGGCAAATGCACTGACTCACTGAAGTATATCAGCTGCCTTGCATGATCAGGGCATATCAGGAACCTTTTTGAAAGTTCCTTTCAAAACAAAATTTCTTTGTCTTCAGCCTGAGTATGCTGAAATTATCTGTCCTGTTGGCCTTTCTTTAGATTAAGTTTTCTTCATTCCAAAGCAGCATCAGCTACTAAAACATCAACCAAGCCTTCAAGTCCCAAACTTTCTGCAGAGGGCAGAAACAAATTAAAACTCTGCCTAAATGCCTCACAACTGCTCTTATTTTTTTCAGAGCAAAGTCAAAGTCAGAGCAAAGCAAAGTCTCAAAATCCCTCAAAGTCTCAAAATCCCATAAAGTCAAGTCTGCTAGAACACGAACAGATTTTTAAATACCGCTGTAAACCACCCAGAAAGAAGTGGCTCATGCAGACTTGGGATTCAGTCTCCCCAGACCACTCACTGCCAATGTACAGCATTTAGACACAGGGGCTCAAATATCATGGAGGAATACACAAAAAACAGCTTGTGGGTAAAAGAAGTAGAACAGCAAAGTGACAATACTGTGCTTCTACTATTAGCAGCAGCTTGCCACTGATAGGACAACACGGTAACACAGCTGCCTGAAGGAATTAGAAGCCAACAGTTAATCAACACTTAAGAAAGGCTAACTAATGTTAGGAAAGGCTGCTGTGGAAGCAAATGGGATTTTACACTGGAACAAACCAGAGACTAAGAGGTAGGAGACATGAAAACAGAGAGAAAGAAGTGAAAGAATAGCAAGACAATAGTTACCGGTCTTCCAGGCTCAGTTGGCCTGCTTTGACAATATGAAGCATCTCAGAGGCAAACTTAACTAGCTACCTGGGGAACTCTGTGAAGCAGGAAAAGTGGATGACTTGCAGGCTTGCTCAGCTGGATCCTGTACTACCCCAGAAGACAGACACAGCTAGAAATCAGCTTCATTACAGCACTGCACTCCCAGGACCCAGCCTGTCGGTAACATATCCATCATCACTAGCTTAAAGCAACCCCCAAGGTCACACTGAGGCCATACAGGAAAGCAGATCCACAGAAGGAAAACCAGGATCAGAGCACCAACCCTGTGGCCTGTCACTTCCAACAAGCACATTCTGTGACTGAAATCTAGACTAGTGCTGACCAAACAGCGGCAGAAAGCAGGAGCTGACTAAGATGAGATGCATACGTCAGAAAGCAACACAGAAATGAAAGAAAAATTTGGAAAAGACAGCAAGAAGAGATCAAGTTTTATTTTTTTAATTGTCTCAGATGTATGCACATTCTCTGTGCCTCATATTCTCAAGGAAATTTATTTTACTTTAGCTTATTAAAAGCCCTCACTCCTCTTGTGGAGTTTTTTTATTTGTATGAGAAAACCAATATATTTCAGGCAATTTGGGATTCCAAGTATGCACTGCAAAATTGCAAATTACAATGGGGCCAGATATATATGTAAAATTTCTTCAGAAATTCAGCATCTAGGTTCCCAACTTTATGCAAACTAGGATAATCAGAACATTACATTCTTATCAACAGATACATCATAACTTTCATACTTCATGGTTGCTTACGTTTAAGGATCCAAAAATCCACTTAGTTCTGATTTCCATGTCCTTTGCATATTAGATATCACACACATTAAATGACAATGGCAATAAAAAGCAGTTGCTGGGAAAGTTTAAGCAATCTTCGTTTTCAACACATGATAACTAAAAGTGCTTCATTAAATTAAACAAACAAATAACAAAACAGAATGATCACTACCTATGCCAAGAAGAAAAGCAGAGCTACTTAGATGACACAAACACGTACGTGTTAAGCATGTTTCTGCAAGCAGGTGCACTTCAATAAAAAAAAACAATTACACCACTAATCTGTGATTTTGTCCACTTTACATTTCTGCTCATTTGGTATCCCCACTGATGCAGACCTGAGCAAAAACAATTGTAAAAGCTTGCTACCTACCTGCAAGCTGAGCTGTTATAGCTTGGAAAGGCAGTCTTCTAAATGCATCCGTGAGTGGCTGTACTTTCCGAATGCTGACAAACTCATGTTTGCCATAGTCCAGCTCATACACTGACAGAAAACCGTTCCTAAGAATTCCTTTTACTGTGACCCTGTACCACCTAAAAAGGGGGAGAACAAGCATAGACAATTTGAATTCATATTCACACACTGTCAAGGCACCGGAAAAAATAATACACAACCGAAAGACCTTAACCATGTCTGAGGCTTCCCAGATCTGGATTTAGCTGAATAAAAGTCAACTATTCCGACTACAGTGTGGAAGCATGAAGGGACTGCAACCTCATTTACTCCCTTAATCTCTCAGATATCATTGGACATCTGCCACCTGGTTAACAATGCGGACTAAGCAAAGCTAGGCTTGCCTAGCTTAGCAGAGTTAAGCTTGCTTTCAAAGATTTTAAGTAATTTAAGTATCTACTTACTCATCTCCAATTTTAGCTGCATACAGCTTGTTTTTTTCAATATTCACAGGTTTCTCTTCTGCCCTGCTGTAGTACAAGATCATTTCTTCCATTAGGGCATACAGATTGTTTAGCTCATTCCAAGGCTGGACAATGAAGTGACCTGGATGGCAGGCCACTGAGACATAGATATCCATGAGCTCGCCAGGCTTTGGCAAGGGTAGAGGAGGAGGCATATCGATAGTAGACACTGCACTGCTGGGCTCCTTGGCTGAATCAGAGAAACTCTTCTCCAGCTTCCCACTAGTTAACTGCAGAGCTGAGACACCGTCACTTATAACTTTTGTGGAGCTAGTCCCACTGGGTGTAACGCTCAAGAAAACATCTTTCTGATGCTTCCACAAGTCTGCATTTTTGATCTGTCTATTGATGCTTCGATCCATGTCTGGGAAATTCTCCGGAGCGAATAAGTAAACGTGTGCAATTCCCTTTGAACCATCCTGTTTAATTACCTTGGAACACAAAACACAGTTTAATATCCAGTTAGTAACTATTAAATGCACGTCTGATTTTGTACTGAAGACTAAAGTGGCAACAGTTCACTGCACTTATGCACAGAAGTATTTTCAAGATTCTCCCAAAAACGTTAATGAAGTCGTGGAGAGTAGACCACTCACAGCAGATAAAAAGAGCACTTGCAGCTATTCCACTCATGTAAAGCAAGTACAAAGCTTGAACTGAGCTTTATTCTGCCCAACAGGTTCAATCCCAATACTGCGTTATACAATTCTAGCTTTCAGTGGAACAGTAGCCAGTGTCCATACAGATCTAAACAATTATTAAATATTAACACATAATCCTTCAAAATATCTTCCTGCCATTACAGGAAGTAAAGCCTACTAAATTAAGGATGGGGAAAAAAATAAAGATGAACAAAGCTTCCAGGTTTGTATAATGCATAATTTTCAAGCACCAACATAAAAATATTTCATATTTAACATCAGATATGCTAGCATTATTAACAGTAAAGCACTGAAATCTTAATTTCAGAAACTACATAACATTTCTTTAGAGATTATTCCGTTTATGTTCCTAGCCAGGAATAAAAACTTTCCACAATTAAACTCTCCAGCAAAAATTAGCACCAAACACAAATTCTCTTGGAAGCGGATGTTTAGAAAAGCCAGATGTAACAGGCATAAGCCTCAGAATAGAGGTCTAGACTAAAGCAAGCAAAAAAGTTAAGGAAAGCTACAAAGCACTTCTTCGAAGTGCTCTGACAGTATATGGAATCAAATTTTTGAGGAAATTAGTTTTGTTTAGTCTGTAGTAAGTAACAGATTTTCTTTAGAAGTGTATTTTCAGTTAATTGAACTGGTTAGGATACATTGCAAATGAAAATAATTTTACCTCAAAGATAAGAAAAATTCTAAGTATACAAAGCACATACTGAATCAAACTCGATTAGAAAAAGCAAACAAAAAATAAGGCTGATTTCAAAGACAAGAAGGAGAAAAAGCTATGCTCACAAGAGGCATAAAAGTAATTCAAGATTAACTCAAAAGTTGCATATTTTTATGTGCTGAAACGTGAACAACTGTGTTTCTTTCTTATCAGTTGGTAAAATAACTCTAGCTGCATATTTGGACTTAGACAGCAAAATGTGAAAAGCTGCTGTGAAAGTTGCTAAACTCTTGTGGAGAAAAGAGAAGATTCTAACACACTTAAGCAAGTAAGTTTTATGTCAAACGTCCTAAGAAAAGGACTTCGTATAGGATTTATGTCCAATAGCTTGTTATAAACTTTTACATTTCTATAACAAAAATCAACTTGATGAGTTGTTAAATTTTTTAAGTTATTCTTCCAATGCTCTCTTCCCACGCCTGTGGATTTCAAGTCCCATAGGCATTTTGACTATTTACCTTCATGCTAAATTCGGGGCAATTCATTACAGTGTCTCTCAGCCACAGTACAGCATCTGGAGTCCACATGCCAGTGTTAGGAGGCAGATCTGCTAGGCAGCATTTTAAAGCCTACAAACAGAATTAAGTACACAAGGTATAATTTAGAAATATGAAAACTAGTCTACAAGTTCCAGTTCACAGGACAATGCTGACGGATTCAACAATGTATGACAAACAGAACGGGACAGGGCCAACATGCAAAACCAGCACTATCAAAAATACACAACATACTGTCCATATATAGGACTACACTGTGACTTATTTCAGGCAAAGATGCACAGAGAAATACACTGCAATGTTGAATGCTATGAAACAAAACAAAATTTCCTTACATAAAACTTGAAATAGCAGCACTACAAACACTGGCAAGAGAACTAATATAGGTTAGGCTTTAACATGTCTTTATACCTGAGGAGGTATTGCAATTACTTCTCTCAGGAATTGTGGTGGGATTTCTCTGAGCTCTGATACTTTCACAGTTGCAACAGTTCCAGTATCCATGAACTGCACATCCAGTGCCCGTCTAGTGTGAATAATTTTTATCTGAAAGAAGAAAGCAAGAGCATAATTTTGAGGTTAAAAGCCTCACTGACACACACTATAAAATGTTTCATGGAAACTAAAGATTCAGACTGAGTTGAAAAAAAAGAGACATTTCTATGTGGGAAAACTGTAGCTTTTTTTTGAATACTTCTTACCTCTACACGTGCCCATTTTCCTTTGGAAGGAAACAAGCAGATTTTGCCACAGAAAGGCAGCAACACATTGAACTCGGAAGTCTGCTGCAAATACAAAAACAGAAATTAAAAAGCGTGGAGCTATTACTATCTGGCACTCGACTAACCATTTCAAAAGCCACACGTGACATAAATATTTCTGAGAAGCAAAAACGCTGTTTCAAATATAAAGTCTCTTTCCAGACTCAGAAACATATTCTCATCACCTTGTTTTAAGCTTCCCCAATTGGCAAAACTTTAATTCCAAGCTCTGTATCTTACAGGGAAACTGAGAGAATACAAAGTGTCAGGGGGAAAAAGCAACACTTGGAAACACAGTATATGAAATCACCAATAATTACTTTACTGTTCTGAGAAGCAAGAGCAGTTTAGAGTTGTGACAGAAAAACTGAAGAAACTCCTAGCTTATAATCTAAATCATATAATTTCTTGAGATATTTAGCAAACCAAATTTACTACTGACTCAAATGAAAGTCTCAGGGGGGTGACATTCACCACGATAATCCTAAATAACGTAACAAGACAATGGGCACACTATAAAAGGCAAGAAGAAACTCGATTTGAAGAACCATCAGCTGCTTAGTTTGTTTAAACGCCCAGGCAAAATAAAAGAAAAAACCACTCTCAAGATTAGCTGCAAAGTCAAGATTGCTTCTTTTACCTTGTTAACTAAAGAACCTGAAGATCAATGTCTCTCTTCAATAGCAACAAGAATATAACACATACTCTCTCCCAAACCCACAAACTTTTGAAATACCTGTCTGGCTGCCTTCCTTCGTTTTGCTAAGCCTTTCAGGGTTCTTTATTCTTTCAGTGTTGAGCTCGCTTGAAACTGAGTCTCGATAACTGAGACATGTTTAACACAAAATATTTCCAGGTGATTCCACAACAGGTCTAAAGCTTAACTTACACACCTAAAAACACTTTCAACAGAGTAGTGTCACAAGCCGCAGTTCTAACAGGATCTTCAAGGATCTGCATTACATGATTTGATTGTGCAAGGCTCAGCTGAATTATCAACAAATTAGATTCTCTTAAGATCTCTTTGGCATAAATTTTCTTGAGTCTAGTGAGCATTGCTGCATGTGTCTGTTAATGGGTGGGTGGTGGAATGTCAGACTTCTCTGCCACACACCCTTTTTAAAGCAACTTAAGACTTCAGAAAATGTCTCCTGTACATCACTTCTAGTTGATATTAGCAACAACATTCAAAAGCTAAGGGGACAAGGGGACAAGTGATGCAGCATATCAGAGCAAAGCCATTGAATTTCCAGGTTAAAGACAGGTTTAAAAGAACAGATCTTGGTTATGCTGCTGCCACTTTCCACAATGTGCTCTGGGCCAGGCTGTTTACGCATCTCAACTCCATCACATAAGTAAAATTTCCAGCAAAAAAAAACCCGGCAGTATCTCTCCAGGCTTTATAGCAATCTGACACAGTTTCCATTGCAAGCTCCCCATTAAGAGCCATACTGTTGCTGTTCTAACTATTCAAGGAAAGTTTAGAAGTAGTTACTGAAGCCTTAGAGACTGCTTCTGAACAAGAAAGCGTCAAAAGACAATGCTCATGCTGAAAGATGCACCCCAAAAACCCCCAAATGAGGAAGAGAATTTATAGCCCTTTTGAACAGTCTATGGCTACTACAGAAACTTGAACTTATGTACAGGGAAAATGATTGGTACACTCAGAAGAAAGGCTACATGACTTCACCACTTCCCTCAGCACAGAACCTACCTTGTAAACAAAGTAGTCTTCTAGTTTCTGCAATATTTCAGAGAGTCTAGACAGGCCTTTGGATGGCACTTGGCAATACAGGGTTCCATCAGAGAAAACACTGGTTACTCTGACATTCGTATATAGTGCATCTACCTGCAACAGTAAGATTTTGGCATGAAAGGGGAAAAACAACCACTTAGCAAATTTCTTAGTACTGTTTTTTGTCCATCTAAGACCTCAGCAGTCAATGAATTTTAATGAATTGAGAAGGAAACAGGACAATGGTACCTGCAGGTGCAGTTCAAGGGACTTGTCATACAGTGCCTTCAGACAAGTAGCATTGATGTTGATATCATCTTCTCCAGACGTGTCATAGAGAACAAGAAGAGGAATATCACTTTTTTCCAGTATTTCCACAGCAAATATCTTGAAGCATGTCTGTGATTCCACAGTCTTTATTAGGACAGGATCATCACAAAAGGCTTCCAGTCCTGTAAGACACACCATATTTTTATGAATCGATGTATTCAAAGGCAAAACCAATAACTAGGTCTGTGTTCACAACGGGAATATTTCCAAGAATCAGGATGAGGCAAAGAAAAGTTGTACTGCACCCCTACTTGAATTCTACTTAATTTCTGCCTTTTTAACATAGACAGCCATCTTCGGGGGTGGGGCAGAATAGAAAAAATCCTCTTCAGAAAGAGTTGAGGCAAATGTGTAGAGAACAAAGGAATGTATTGAAGTATTAAAAAACCAACCAAACAAAAAAGCCAAGCTCATTCCCAGCAATTTTACGCATCAAAAATAAAATATTTTTAAAAACTTAGAAAGGCCTACCAGTTTTAGAAAGGTAAATAAATTCCAGCAGAGTCTAAAAGTCTGTAGGTATGCAAGTATTGAAAGGGGAAGGATCACTTTAAGATAACTAGATAGGCCCATATTTAGAAATACTGCCTGACCTGATCACAAGAGATGTACCTCATTTTGGAAAAGGTGTTGTGTTAGTACATTGTTTCACACAACAGCAAATGTTATTTCTTTATTCTCTTATTTCTTTAGGCTCTTTGTCCCTTTACATAAAAGGGACAAAAACATCCAAGTGCAGAAACAACTAAGCTCGGCTACGTAGATACTGGATATAATTGTCTATCTAATATCAAGGGTTCTTTATAAAACTCTTCTTCTTCACATCCTTTCTTTCTCCCTTTTTCTTCTTTCCGTGTCTACCCATGTCTGTTTAGATTAGCTGTGCTGGACAAAATCTATCATACACAGACAGATCAAGGATCAAAACTCCCAGACTCACAGATGCTTCAATTCATAAATCATGTACAGTCAGCACTGCCTTTCTCTTACCTGCCAGTTTACACTTTACAGCTTGAAAAGGAAGCGAACTGAACTGTTTCTGTAGTTTGTACACACTGTTGCTTTCAACAAACTCAGTGAAGCCATGATCAACATAGCGTACCTGAAAATGGAAAAGGGAATAAAGGCATAAGATCATCGATATCATTGTAAATACGTTTTCTTGACTCTAGGGGAAATGCATTCAGTTATCACATTCTCTGTGCAGCCACAGGAAAATTACAGTTTGCTCATTTAGTAGAATATTAGACCATTCATTTCATATTTATCTCACTGCCTGAATGTTCAGAGTTTTCAGGGAAAGCCTCATTCTCAAGATGTCTGCAAAACCATCCTCTTCAACTGTTCTACAGAATCTCAGCTCTTAATAGGACGACTTCTGGAGGGTTCAGCATGCATTACCTCAAACCATGTGAAGAAAGGAATAAAGTGGCAATTTTTGTTTATAAAGTTTTGAAACTGTTGAAAAGTCATATACCACTTAGGTGCCATTATAAGTTTTGCCTACTGTTTTTACAGCATTAAGAGAATCACTTTGATTAATGCTTGTCTTAACTCTGATTACCACAGTCAGTGCAAGAAACCATTATGGAAACTGCTGATTGGTAGCAAATAACTGGAGCTAAAGTAAGAGAAAGAAGGCTTTACAGGACTTTCTACAACTTTTTTTCTAAACTCTATCATGCAAAACGTCTGATTATCAAATACTGAAAGGAGGTCTGAACACTGTGTTAGAGGATAATCAGAAATGCTTCAATAAAGCAATAGCCTTCTTTTGGTTGGTAGCTCTAGTTAGGGAGAAATTAGAGGCAAGCATGGCACCTATGTCCTTGCCACTTCTTTAAAACCAACAATCTTTCAAAACCAAGTTCTGACACTCTCCAACAAGCTCCAGCTGAAGGGTATCATACTAACTCTCAGAAAATCCTCAATTCTAATACATGTGCTATTTAAGTATTTATGAAATGGTTCAACTTTGTAAGTATGTTAAGAAGACCTAGATAAAAAGTCACCTAACTGGGGGAAGAAACAAAAAAAAAATTAAAAGGGTATATAATCAGTGTTTGATAAGGCAAGAAATAATTGAGAAGTCTTAAACTTCTTTTAAACTTCTAATATATGTTGTAGTTTCACTGCAGATAACAAGAAGAGTCTGCTTGGCCCAGGGAAAGTTTAACAGAGGAGTCAAATAATCTCAGTGGGGTTTAACTAAAATGCATACTACATGTAACTCCCAGAATACCAGATCTGCCTGGAAGGGGAAAATATAACCTTCTCATTTTTTTGCTATTTAGTGCACGTTTGAGATACTTCAGTACAAGACTTCAAAAAGCTCTAGCAGCAACTGAATTCTGTCCTTCCCTTTCCCTTCCTCTGTCCCACTCCAAATAGTGGTAATACAGTGTCCCTCCTAACAGAGGTAAATTTTCAGTACCAAAGTGCTATAGGGCCCAGCCTCACATAAAACTCAAAAAAGCCCCCAAACTCAAATTATTTATGGAAAAAAACCTGATAGACCATTTAATTTTGGCCACCATATAGCTTCAGAAATGTCTTAATTTCTCACATAACTGAAAACAGAAGCAGTTCAGGGCAAGAAAAGAGAGAATGCTAGTGCAGCATATTTAAGAATTAACCAGGTATCTAAAATGCAAGATTGTTTCAATTCTTTCTCCAAGTGCCAAAAGAGGTAATTACTTGCCTTTATTCTGTTGTCTTCTAGAGAAATTATCCGAGCACGCACCCAGGCGTCTTCTCCAGCATGTACTGCAACAAGCTGCCCAACACTCAGAGACTGAGCTGCTGACACTGTACTATTCTGACTATAGTACGCTTTCATCTCATCTTCCATTTGTTCCTGGGCAGAAGAATAATCTTTGCCCACAAACCTACAGTGTTTTACAAAAAGAACCAAAACAAAAACCAGCACGAGAGTTAGGATGCAACTTCAAAAAACCTGAATAAGAACATTTCCATGCATATATGAATATAGGAGTAAATTATGGATGCATACATTTTCTAAGTACACTAGTATTCAAACTCTTTTTCCATTAACAGGGCTATAAAAAAAGAAAGTTACTCCGTCATTAACAAACACTATCTTAATCTGGTTTTCACTAAGGTTGATCCACAACAACACATTTAAAATATTTTTTAAAATCAGCTGTTAAACCATGTGCTGTTTACTCTCTCCCTCCCTATCAATCAGCATTAGGTTGCTGACCTAATGGTTCCTACTGAAGCAGTTCGTACGTAATGAAGTATATAAACTTTCTGAAAACTCCAAATAGGAAGTTCTGAAGGCTTCAGAAACACATCAGATTAGAGTAGACAAAAGGAAACATAAAAATTTGTATTTAGTAGCTACTGTTTCAGCATATTCATATAGTCATTGATACTGCACAATTCTACAACGTAGTTTAGATCATCATCCTATAAACATCTGAGTTTATTCTGAAGGCCTGCTATATACCCAAAATTAGTGCAGATATTGTACTATGACATACTATGGTAACTTTATTAAATTAAATTAAATCTGATCACATTCCAGGGGAACCCTCATTTTCCCAAAGACAGCCTCACGCTTTTCAGGATGACAGCCTTTTTATTTCTACAAAACAATGTTCATCTCCTTCAAAGGAGAGATAAAGTGGGGTGACAGTCATGTATGTGCTACTTAAAAGTTTCTTTAACATTTATTTCATAAGGATACCTAATAGACAGTTGGAGTAGCTCAACAGAAAGCAGAAGAATCTCTCAAAATTTCCTGCCTCATTCACTATTTTCTAGTAATTGGTGAGCCTCATACTGAAGAAGTTTTTGGTTGCTCGAAGCCAATTGAAAAATTATTTTTCAGATTTTTTTTTAGAAAAGAATCCTGTAAAGCCACCTCAAAAAAAGTGTATTAGAGGCTAATCTATGTGCAGGTAGCCAGGCACTACAAGTGTGCATTCAGCAACATTCTTTTTCTCAACTGGAACCAGTTCACATGTCCAGTAATGTTTGCTGCTCCACTGTGAAAGGAACAGAGGAGTATGCTTCCACAGTGAAACATACAACACAATTTCATCTAGGCAAAAAGAGGAGGGGAAAAAAGTATCCAAGCTGTAGCACAGAAACTTAAAGTACCTGAGAATAAACCATGACAGTTAATTATTTCTTGTGAGAATTCAAATGCAGCACCTAGTGCATCATCTCTGCTTCAATCACTGTTGTGCATGTACAGCAAATATCTAGGAGTGTTTCTATCACCTCACTTTCATACTGACTACATCTGAATTCTCACTGAATTGTTCCATGTCTCAAAACAGAAACAGCACCATATCTTCCAGCTTTGCCTTCATTACTACTGCATTTGAAAGGTTTCAGCCAAACAATACTTAGCCACATACTAAAGAGATATTGCTCCCTCCCCAAGACTGAAAGAGGAATCTTGATTTTATTGGTCCTACAAAAACCAACATCAACCAACAGCCCCTGAACAGTCCTTGTGTAGATGAGCAGAAAGGGACTGGTAGGACATGTAAGGACAGATGAGCCCATGCACTGTTCCCTTCCTATACGTCCACATGAACATTTTCTTGTCATGGCAAAAAAACTATTCCCTTCAGGGCTAGTTACATCGTATCAAGATAAAAGACCTTGCCCATAACCCTAAGTAGTAATTTCCGTACCTAGGGCCAAGAGACCACTAATTTTCGTCATGTACCCGCACGGAGCTGACAAATTCAGAAACCTTAACACTGTCCAAGAAACGTGGCCCACAATTTGGGAAGTGCTGCTTTGTAGAGAAATTTTAATATAATCACCCTCAGCTCATCAGTGTCATACAGTATTCCTCCCAAATAATTAGTGGAAACATGCTTGAAATAACAGATTAGAAGGCTAAGAACTGTTACTCCCATGTGCAGCAAGTTATCAATGCTGCCAGAATTAAAAGGTGTACAGGGAGAAGGAAAAAGTTTTGAAGAGTTAAGTTCCACCTGCATAGCAAGCTGGAAGTAAGAGATGTAATTTGTTCCTCCTCTTCCCAATGCAAAACATATGCACTGTGTCTGCTTCTGTATCTCTGCGTACAGAATACTTATGTCTCAAAGGGGTTGTCTTTCCTGCCACTATTGATCTTCATCATATTTCATGTTTTGGACTAATTTCAAAGAGATCTCTCAGGAACAACCTAAAACATAAGGCCTCTCTTTCTTTCTTCTGTGATTTCTTTTTTTAAGCTGAGGGTCACTCACAAATTCCAACTGTGTCTTCTTTGCTAAAATGATTGACTTGTTCAGCTGGATACAGGACAAATCTTTTTGACAGATGAAGAAGCTTGCCTTAAATTATGCTTTGTGGTGAGACCAGTATACAAAATAAATGTATAAACAATGCACACAGAAGCTTATATGAGAAAAAGCACAATATAGGAATGGTAACAGCTGCTAAAACAAAGATGGCTACGTTCGCAAATGGAAATTCCTCTGGTAACCCCTAAGTAAGGGGATCTTTGCTACACACTATCAGCCTTGAGATTCCATGACTTCAAGAAACTAAAACAGTGGAGTGACACCTGAAGTTCAAGACAATATACTACTGAGACCTAAAGAGAAAAAGGATATCTAGATTTCAGCTATAAGCCCAGTGTGTTGAATACTGCCAAACAGCAATGAGGAATGGGGTAACAGGATCTGTAATGAAACTGCACACATACTTAATTCAATCCTCATCTGAGAATGACTGAAGCTATCTAACCAAAGCAGAAACTGCAGAAATTAGTGGGGAAAAAAGAGAAATCTGTCACTGTAGCATATGACCACACAGTCGCTCAATTCATCCTCTTGAAGTGACCTATAAACTTTTTAAGACTAGGGTCAATTTAAAACAATTTTAAAAGTGAAATATCCTCTATGAAAATGTTTAGGGTTTGACTTTTTTTTTTAAGTTCTAAAGAACCGCTAGGATTTCTAGTACTTTATTCCAACAATGAAGTATACAAAGGTTATTACGGTATATCCTGGAACAGTAGAATAGCATATAACTAAGACAACCACTACAATCCACTTCTTACACTGTCCTCTAAGGCTGAACTGATTAGCAACCAAATTAAGAAGCACTAGTAGTCTATTGTTGGATGAAAGCTCATCTGTTTCCAGAAGTGAAAATCAAAGTGGAATCTGAGCATACTCAAGTCACATCTAGTTAGTAATAAGTCAGTTGTAGAAGTAAAAAGTATTTTAGTAAGAACAACAATAATATCTGAATACTATTACGTGTTGTAGTAGGGTTGTTTTAAAAAGTCTTGCAATGGCAAGTCAAATCTGCCTTGATTTCATATAAGCCAGTGATAGAAGTAATCAGTTCAGGACAGAAAAGGTTTTGGAAAATTTCCATTTAGGCAAACAAAAGGATTCTTAAGTTTCATTAGCAAATTAAGTAAATAATAAAGCCCTGAAACCTCCTCTTCAGCAATTCCTTTCTGGCACATCTATACAATGTTACTATGTGGATTTATAAATAAAGCAAAAAAGATAGATTCCAAAATACAAACTTGCCTAATTAGGACCTCATTAGTGTTTTTCAGTTCTAACACCACGATGGACACAGATCCTTCTGACGGAATGATTAGAGAAGGAACAGTTATGTTCTCTGGATACTGGTCCTTGGATTCTTCATCCTGTTGCTCAGCTGTGGCCTTCACACCATCACGACTCTGGACTTTCTCAGTGACATTCAGGTTTTCATCAATGCATCTTTGGGGTTTAGCATAGAGGATAGCCCTTCTGGGGACTTCAGATACATAATCCACCGTACACACATCTGAGAGCAACTCTAGATTACTGAGAACGTCTTCTGGAAATTTTGCTTGGTAAGTGTCTTGGTACACTTTGGGAAGTGCATGAGCCCAAAGACCATTGGAATATTTCAGCAAGATGCTAACAACTTTCTGCTTTAAGTCGCTGCTCAGTGATGCAGACGTGGTCTCCACATTCGGTTTTAACAAAGGGTCTGCTTTTGAAGACGTAACATTCTGAGATACCTTTTCTTGATCGGTATCGCTTTTTGCTGCCGGTGGTACTTTCTTTGCAGGATAAAGATGTTCATCCATCTGATCACCCCTGTGTATTTTCTCCACCTTGTAAAACAAAAAATAGAGCCAATAATCAGTTGTATCTCTAAGTCTAAAAAGTTTTGCCAATTACACTTTTATGACATGCATTTTACACAGATTTTGAAGTGGACATCCACGGGGAACTAAGCTTGAGGCAGTTACTACAGGGTAGTATTTCTTGTAATGCTTCCTCCTCTGTTTTGAAGGGTACCAAACACATATGACTACATCAGTACAGGGCAAGTATCTGATCTATACAATACAACTGGAACTTGCTTCCAAGGAAGTACAATCTCTCTTTTCTCCCAGGAGGACCAGAAGATGATGACGCACTCCACGAACTTAGGTCTTTTGCACATTACCCCCCCACTACCTTTCACACAGGTAAGCCTATCATAAACAAAAGGGAGATGGGATTTGATTCTATACTTCAGAAACAAGAGGACACTTGCCAGGCAGTGCTGTCAGGCAGACTATTGCTGTCATGCTCAGGGAATTATTTTTCAGTACTAAAGTTCTGAAATCAAGGGAGAAATGTCTGTATCATAATAAAATTTCGTAATAAAACTGATTAGGTCCTTTTAAGCCATGCTCACAGCCTCCTCCAGAACCAGACAGATGTTTTGCCAGTCCCTATGTCTCTAGTCTTTGCTATGTTCAAGAATAAGCATCTCACATAGTTTGAAGTCACAATCTTGAAAGCACCGTTTGAGAACTGTAGCAACAAACTCACAATAAAATTCCGTTTCCTCAACCTAGACAGATCCAACCATCACTTAATAGGAATTTACATAAAACTGAGATAACAAAAGCTCTTAGAGTTTCTACATTGGTCCCTAAGCAAGAACAATTCCAGCAATAAAGAAAGTTATTGAGGTTTATGTAGCTCCACTTTGATGTTCCTTCCTCAGAGGAAACAACTCTCATCAAAGTAATTGTCAGAAGCAGATCAATGAAAAAACATGGAGCAGCTGAATTACTTGCACCTACTCAGCAGTAGCATTTACCTCCACACTATTGATGTCCATAATCATGAGAATTTTGTAAACCTTGCCCAAGTAATTCTTTGCAGTTCTGCCCCACCAACATACAACGGAAGCGTAGTGAACAAGACTTCAGGTATTGTCTTGCATATGAAGAATAACACAAGTCACTCATCAGCAAGATAACGCTAACAAGACACAAACACTGAGTTACAATACATGGACAAAAATTTTAAAATGGCCTTTTCTGTGTCTAGAACCATGTGTTTTGTCCTATGTACAGCTCATCACACTCAGCTGAAATTGCCACGTGATGACCTGAGTTGAGAATCAACAAATGTACTACAGAAGTGGATTTCCATGCACTTGCTCTTCATTGCATTGTCTAGGCTGGTGCCAAAGCAAGGTATGAAATGGTTCTTGGGAGTAGGTCTTGGTCAACTTCCACAAACACTAGCATGTGGGCTATCTAAAATCATCACAAAGAAAATAGTTTTCATAGATATAAAAAAATATGAGCCGGGTTAGAGAACTCTCACACATTTTTGGTGGCATGTCTGAATTATTCTTTATCGGTGAAAACCAAAATAATAGTATTTTCTGCAAGAATAAGACATAAGAAGGCAAACAAAGCCATCTAACAACCCTCAGTTCCTCAGATTCATGTGAATGAGTCAAACAAGCTTTAAGATTCCAGTCTTTCCAAGTAAGCTCACTAAACCAAGGAGACATTCCCTCTTAATATCTCTGTGGGGGGAGAGGAGAGGGAGTGTCCTATAGATATCTACTTACTAAAGAACAGTTATCTACTAGAGGAAAAAATATAAACAAATCATATAAAGGATGGTAAATTCACCAAGGTCTTAGACATCTTGCTAGTCAGGTTGATATAAGAGATGACAAAACATGTCTGGCCATGCAGTCTAGAAGGATCAAAGATGCCTTCAATGACTCATGACACAGAGAATCTACATCTGTAGGTACACTGATATGGGGAATTTTATTATGTCCCTTGTACCACAGGAGCTCGGTTAAAAATACAACCAAACAGAAACCTATCAAAGTCTTGCAAGGGCCTTCATACACAGTCAAGAGACCAAAGAATACCAAGTGACCTAGAAAAAGAAATCAGCGCACACCACCTTGGCAGAAAATGACATCCTAGATACAGAGGAATTGGTAAGGATGTCCCCTGTGTCTACACACAAGATTGAGTAATTTGTTTAAATAACCAGCCAAAGAAACTTTTAGCTCCAGAAAATACTTGGCATTATCAGGACAACAATTTGTTTGAGAAGGCTGTGTTGGGATGTATGGCAGCTCATCCTGAAAGAAGCTGCATGCAGAGAGTCTACCTTCATGCATCCTTTCTCTTGACTAGCACTCTTCATATAGGGCTGCAACAGAGCTGAATAAATATTTGCTGACAGGACTATAAACCCTTACACACTAAAGATTGGCAGAGGACTAAGAAGAGAAGATCCTCAGAGATCTTTAAGCCTCTTAACTCCAATAATAGCTCTGAGGTTTTCTAGGCACTGAACTTCAGTTTTGAAGAAGCTGTAGATGCTGACTGAGCAAACCATTTAGAGACAGTAAAAATGCTATTTCAGTAAGTCTTTTCAGATTCCTACACTATAAATGAGCTCAGGTCGAAATCATTAGAATCACACAATCATAGAATCATAGAATCTCCTGAGTTAGAAGGGACCATCAAAGTCCAACTCTTACCCCTGCACAAGACATCTCCAGGAACCACATCATGTACCTGAGAGCCTTGTCCGAATACTTCTTGAACTCTGTCAGGCTTGGTGCTGTGACCACTTCCCTGGGGAGCCTGTTCAGTGCCCACCTACCGTCTGGTTGAAGAACTTTTTCCTAATACTCAAACTAAACCTCCCCTGACACAACTTCATGCCATTCCCACGGCTCCTATCACAGGTCATCAAAGAGAAGAGATCAGTATCTGTTCCAACGTTAGTGATTCCATGATTCTGTTTCTGTAATTTCTTCTGTACTTAACCGAAATGTTAAAATTAAGTCATACTGGGTATATTTTTGTATTTTTTTTTGTAGTTAGACTAAAGGATCCCTACTGTAAAGATACCCTCTGTTCAGATTCAGTTAGTGCTCAGGGCTGGAGTGGTAAGCTCTGTAAAGCACAGGAGTGTCTTTAGGTTGCCCCCTTCTGCCCCATCCTCTCTGCCCTCCCACTTCATTACCCTGCACATCATAGTGAAGATACTTGTTCTCACAGTTTCTTGTGTTTTTGAGACTCTGACTTCGGAAAACATACAATTACAAATGAAACTCTAATGCAATAAGACAGGGGAGTCAATCTAACAACTCCATACTGTTGGTGGCTGCCCTTATTCCTCACATCCATATGCCAGCTCTGAGGATCATCAGACATCTTTGTCAGCAGTTTTTTGGCTGTACTAACCTTTACCTCATAATGCAGCGAAGCCCTCCTAAAACGTCAGAAAATTGCAAGATTTAACACACAAGGAGATGCAAGGGTTGCAGGAACAAGGGAAGATGCTGTCAAGTGGAGTATGACTTCATTTGGTGGCTCATCATGCTGTCTAACCACGTATTGCTAGGACTGAGCTTCAGGCACATCGAGTTATAGCCTGTTCCCACACTGCGTTTGGACAGTAAAGTTATTCTGGATCTTGTGTTCTCAACTGGCTCATTTCCACACATGCTATGACAGCATCTTCTCAGTGAGCTTGATACCAACTGTATTTTGCCCTGTGCTGTAGTATGTACAACATATCTAGTTAAATTTAGGTAGAACATGGCTTGTGTTCACTGAACTCCATTCTAAATGGCTAGTGGCTCTGTGTCTTGTCCTGAGATACCCACTAAAGCAAACTGTCAGATCAAACACTGATTTCTTCAACAAGCATGGTAAAAGGAAGTTATCATAATCCTAGAGCTCATTTATAGGAAACAGTTTGTAGGGCTTGTGTAAAACTGTGCAAGCTTTCATCCATACGTGCTACCAGACAGGACAGCCTGCTTCATTGTCCACTCCATGTGCAAAGTGCATTAGAGCTGATTTTTTTATTCTCTCAAGTCCATTTCTCTGTTTAGAATGATGACTTTTGCCTCACTCAGCTAACTGGGGTACAGGAATTCCTTCCCTGAGAGTAAAGACCTGACAGAACCAAAGTTGCTCAAGGAATACAACCGGCTGTGGCAATCCTTATCTTCTCTGTGCAGACCTGTTTAATTGACTCTGAATGCTACAGTAAAAACTCAGCTGCCATATATAGTAGTATGTAGTACCCATTTTGTTAAGAGATGGTATACTGCCCAAGAACAGATTCAGGAAACAACACTCCTAATCCTATTTCTGTCAGTTTGTTTACCAGTTGATCCCGCCATCCTCCTAAGCCTGTAGTTTCACTTTCTGCAAACAGTCACAACTTCTGTAAAATATGAAGACTATTCTTAGAACTATAAACGGCTAAAAAAAATAAAATAAACAAAATATCCTACCAGTCAACTAGGCAACATATGCAAGTCCCATTATTGACTAAAAAATCTTCTACCTTCCTGTAATGACAAACTTCACCTTGTAACAACTACTTAAAAACAAACGAACAAAAAAAGCAATCACAAACACCCCAAAACCACCGAAAAAAAGCATGTTAATTTTTTCCCCTTCGTTTCTCTGATTTTTTTCTAATTATGTATCTTCAAGAAGACTAACACACTGTGGTACCAACCCAGACATCCAAGAGATAAAGTGAACAACACTAGGCTTTCCTTTACTGTATAAAGCCTCCTCCTCAGAATAAATAGCCAGGCAAATGTTCTCCAGACTGAGGAGCCTTTTCACACAGTATCAGCCAATACAGTGCCTGAGCGCACTGACAAATATGCTCAGGATAAAATACCCATATTTTTTAGCCAAAGTCTTATTAAAAAGCAGTAAGACAACTGACTGAGAAATGGTAGATTACTGGAGATGAAACTGTCCTCTGATGACAACAGACTAATCTGCTATGTAGCCAGGGCCAATAGGATATTTTACAAAAAAGAACATCATCTTTGCTCTGGAACTGCTGAAAAGCAGATATATCTCTTCCAGCACAAGTGGAACTTGCAAATTCAGAATGGCAGTGTTATTTTTCTACCAACTCCCTCAGAAAACCAACAGAAAGACTAAGGTAGCCACTATTAAAAGAAACCTCTAGAAGCAAGTCTAGAGGCATACATCCCTTCTTTCTGTTAATTCAAAGGTGGCTGCTCAGTATTGTTCTCTACCCTTTTCTAACCGCAAGAATGAACTTGGGAAGACAAGTGCAAAAAAAGATGACAGAAGACAGCTTCACCTGGTAAACAACATAGGGGACTGACATATTTTGTCATCATCTCAGATTGATATAAAAGGATGAAAAAAGGCAGCTACTAGAAAGAATGCAGCACCAAGACTGACTGAAAATTAGAAGCTAAGAGAAGTGGGGTAGTTCAGCCTGGAGAAGAGAAGGCTTATAGCAGGTGTCCAGTATCTAAAGGGACTTATAAGAAAGATGTGGAGAAACATTTTAGCAGGACCTGTTGCCATAGGACAGAGGGTAATGGCTTTAAACTAAAAGAGAAGAGATTTACACTGCATATAAGGATGACATTTTTTACAATAAAGGCAGTGAAACACTGGCACAGGTTCTCCAGACAGGTGGTTGATGCCTGGAAGTGTTCAAGGCAAGGTTGGATGGGGCTCTGAGCAACCTGATCTAGTTGAAGATGTCCCTGCTCATTGCAGGGGGGGTTGGAACTAGATGGCCTTTAAAGGTTCCTTCCAACCCAAACAACTCTACAACTCTACAATAATTACATATAGACAGACTGATTTAGTGCACTGGAACTGTACTGGGTCAGAACAAGGATATTCCTTGCCTAACATCCTATTTGACAACAGCAGGCATCCAGGAAAAAGCATAAGTGACAGGATGGTTGTAGGGACTCCTCCTCCTCCCATTCTGGATACTCCATAGTTCAGGCACTACTAGTGACAGTTTCTTTGGAATGAAGTAGTTCATGACAACTAAGGCCAGAGATCACCAGTGCGTGTATTCAGTTGCTTTTGAATTCATGATGATTAACATTCTCCATCTACCTTCTTCAAGTCTCTTACTATATTATAGCCCATATCTCCACCTTTCCCCACTTAAATCGTTTAACTCAATTTTTGCTTGTATAGAACTCAGTACTTATGTTTACCTGTCACCCTCTTGAATCATCTTTTCACTCTGCTTGGTCTCTCAGTCAATTTTTGTTTGTGTATTTTTTGGGTGGAGATGGGAGGAACATATTTGATTCTGATATGTGCTTACAAAATAGGTTTCCCCACTGGTACAGCGTTTGCTATTTTGTTTTCTGTTCATGAGAACAGGGAAGTCTTTACAGGGAAGTTTGCTGCCTGGGGCCCCTGGGGCCCGAATCTAGATGAGATGTCACCGGACAACTGAATAGCTTAGTATAGTTTTGGACTCTTATCCACTCCTACACTTTCACGTGAGTACCAAATATGTTGCAACAAAAAGTTTAAGGTCGATCAAAAGAGATTTCAGAGCCCTGGGAAGAATGTTTATCACTTCCATTTTTCTGTACTGAGCCAATATTTGGTACCATCAGTAACATAAATTTATTATTACTTTTTGGGCTGTGACTTTCAAAAAAAAAGAGAACTTCTTAATTTATGTGTCTACATCCCTCTCACACCTCTGCTGTAATGTTCTCTCTCCCTCAGGGGTTCAGTTGTCTGCATCCCAAGGATTCAAGGCTGAGCCCAAACACAGCAAAGCTATGTAACTTTGGGTCAGAATTCATAGAAAAGTGCTAAGTTCTGAGGCAGACTTGTGAGAAAAATATGTAGAAAGATAAGAAATGAGACAGGGTAGAATGTCTAAATTAGGGATCACTAGCTGCTTAAATAATGACAAAGTAATTCGTCAAACAGAAAGGTATAAGATCCTAAAATAAAAAGGTGAAGGTGGGAGGGTCACTACCAGTCGTCACTTTTTTCAAAGCTCGAGTCCTGCTGGAGATGAAAGCAAACAATTCAGCAACACCATGGATCTGACTGACATAGCTGTTGAAGCAGATTCTTCTCCTGACTGAAGCCTGTCTAGACAGCAAAGATTTTTGGGTTATTATATAACAGTGGTGAGCATATTTACTGTCAGCCCCATTGCCCATGAAGGCTTGGCTATAATCTGGGAGTCCTTGCCACTACTTACTTCCTTTGTACTTTTGCACTTAGCTGTGCAAAATACGTTGCTACAAGTCAGATGCTCAAGCAAGCTAACCTAAAGAAGGGAGGTAACAGATCAATGGAGAACAAAGTCAGGCTCCACAGTTTGTAATATGTCCTCTTCCCTGAAAGGTGAAGGCTGAAAACAAGATCATCAATCTGCAACCTTAGTGCAGTCAACTATAGTGACTTTTGGAGACTTCAGCTCACTAGATAGGAAAAATGTCCATTAATGGTGGTTGTAACCTAAAATAGAAATGACCATTTCCTAGAAAAAAATCCTTCATTTCCGACAGAAGTTAGGGATACAAGTTTGTTGGTTTGTAACTATGCTACTACTGATCAGCATGAGATAAAGAAGAGCTCTGCTGTCTCTTTAAGAAAATACAGAGAGAAACATCAGGCATTTTTTTCTGTTCTCAGCCAGGCAAACACTCCCAGTGTAAGTAACCACAAGGCAGAAATAATTTAGAAATTAGTCACGGAAGCATCTTTACTGATATGGAGACACTACAGTCTGTCCTCTGGCATTTCAAAGTTTCTGTGGACCTGCACACCTGCAGACAATACGTTTGAATCAGGAATAAACGCTGATTATATTTAAGAGATGCACAGTATGGGAAGTCCCAGTTCAAATTTCTCCGTGCCTGAGCCATGACTGCGATTTCATAAGTCAGTAAACTGAGACAGGCTTTACAGGCTCATTAACAGCTCTCCACAATAAGACTGACTGTGCCAAGATAACTTGAGAGTTCTGACTGCTGTTGTACTGTGCCCACTGTATTACAATGTTTCCACAGATTTAATGACTGCACATTTACGCTAAAATGACTTTATTTGCTTGCTAGAGAGAAGAGATAGACCCAATAGATAACAAGCAAATGGATAATGAACACAGAGCGAAGATCCTGGATGAAAAGGACTGCCCGAAACATTAGCTACAAAAAAAGACAAAAATTTGCTTCATGAATTAAGTAACTCAAGATGTAAGAGCTTGCTCCATGGATTATACAGAAACCAATCATCAACCATCAAAACAAATGCTGCTGACTTCATATGTTACTGGTGTTTGTAATAAACTGTCACGAACGCATCTTACATATCTGTGAGAATAGCATACATGCATGCAAATGGTGTTATTCCTGAAGAGCAACTATTTAATCTCAGTTAAACCTTTCTTTTTTTTAGCATTTGAAGTTATTACGTGAGAAAATACTTAGCAGGACATACATGAAAAGTCACTTCAAGCAGATAAGTATTCTCATTACTTCAATACTCTTCTGGTGCCACAGTTCGATAAGATACTGAAGAAGTTGAAAGTGTTCATTGATATGACTGGCCTGTTAAAGTAAAGCTAAACAAAGATTTGATGCAAAGCTGCAGAGCACCATAAATGTAGAAGGAGAGATAAAAGTCCAGCAGTTGAAGACCCTCAATCCAGTGGTGATGGCAACTCACACAGCAGATCTGGAAGTGGATACTCATCCTGATATCAGTCCCTAATATGAAGGACAAAGACACCCTTGGTGATCAAGAGATAACAGACATCAGGAGCAGAGCAGGAAGGGGCTGAGCTGTAGTCTCTCCCCCCAGCACTATCACACTTGAATTTCATCTATTATTGTATCATAAGCCTAACTTACACAGCAAAATTCCATAACCTTGGCTTAGGATGTGAGAAAGACGTACGGAAAAGTCTACAGAAAAATATGGATAGACCTCAGATGGTTCACACAGGATCTGCTGGTAGCTTATAGGTTTAAGAGGAGATAAACCCACCAACTAGGAGAAGTATAGAAAGCAACAGGGAAAAAACAAAACCCAACAACAAAAAACACGGCAGGGAGAGCACGTGTCATCAGCTGTTTGAGTTGTCACTATTGGAGTCAGTTAAAGGTGGCAACTCAGCAACCTCAGGCACTTATTTGCTTCAGGACAACACAGAGGCTGACCTCCTTCTCCATAACAATGCTAGTCCACTCAACAATGATCTTCTGGGTTTAAAAGGCATTGTTACAATTTGGGGGGTGGGAGGATTTTGGTTTGTTTTGTTTTTTTGTCACATGAAACGATCATGAAATGAAATGTAGGCATAGATAAAATAACATCTGGAAAATGAACACTCAGAAATCTGTAGGGTATTGGCATCTTCCATAAAAATGACATTCAATACTTACTGTGCACACATGAGGCCAGTTCTCAAGCTGATGGAGCACTTCTGTGCTAAGATCCTCCCAGAACATTTCCCGATAGATCTGTGGCATCTTTGACACCTTGACACCACTGCTGTACTTGCTCAGAAGCTCCTTAATGCGACTCTGAAGTTCATTGACATCAGCAGCAGAAGAGCCAGAGGAAACAGTATGTGTCTCTGCAGTGGATGTATTTAAGTTATCTGTTAAAAAAATACAGCCTTGAAGTACACACAGCCTTACCAACAGAGAGAAATACAGATGATTACCTCCTTACTTAAAAATTAAACACCTGAGCTTGCCACTGTAACATCAGCTCTAAAATGTGTCTCTCCTGTCCAGCACGGCTAGTTCAGTGACCTTCTATTAGAAAGAGCTATGGAAACCTCAGACATTTAGTAACTGACCTAAAGCTGCATTTTCAATCACCATAGTTATTTTCATAAGACGCTGCTAAATTTTACTTCTGAAGAAATTCTGGAAGAGGATGTAGAACCCTCAGCCCCACTGCAGCTGCACTAAGGTAGTATCCCAAGGGCGGCACAAGATAATTTCTTTATGAATACACACACAACAAAGACACAGCAAAACAACTAAGAATGTTCTTCTATATTCAGACAGGCGCACAACTCAGACCAATCATTTCCCTTTCATTCCAAGATATGTCCTGACGAAAAGTCTCCATCCAGCACACAGCCTTTCTGTGCTACTGCATCCAAGGAAGCCCTCCAACGAAGCAGCAAAAGAGATAACAACTGTCCACGTGCTCTGGACAGTTTCATACACTGTGTGTAGGAGTAAGACAGTCATTATTTCTGGGGGAGGTTCACATCACTAGCTTGCTTGCTCCCTCATCTCTGCTCCTCTCTTCCCTTTGAAGGAGTATGTTTGCTACCAGTCCTGAAGCTTCACAAATCAGCCTCACAGGTCTCAAAGAAAACAATCATCACTTGGCAAGCTCACCAACTGCAGAACTGTTGTGAATCAGGTAGGCAGGATGGTATTTTCTGGACAGATACATTAGTGTGCTGCTTACTTCTGAAACCCAGGATTTCACTCTTCTACCAGATCCCTAACCTGGCAGTGAATTTAAGTTTACTCCTCCTGTTTCCAAGCTACTCACACTAGCTTTGTGATTGGCTTTGACACTTACTACCCAATGTTTTTCATAGAAGACTGAGAGGCAGACAAGCAAACACACATTTCCTCAGCACAATGAAATGAGAGTGAGAAGGTTCACTCATAGGACTTGGTTTCTCACCCAAACCTATTTCATTCAAAACAAGTACTAAGATGGATTTTTCTTAAGATGACACCCAGTCTAATATGAGTAGTCAACAAAAATTTTCTTAATGGGCATACCATTTGATTCTGTGGAAGAGCTTCTGGACAGGTGAACTTGCAACTCTTTCTGAAACCGTGGTGGGACTGTCAGTCTCTTCTCAGACCTAAAATTGCAAAAAAAATTGCTTAAAATCATTCTCCTATCTCTAAATATTCCATTTGTTTATAAGACCTATACATAAAACAAATTCCACACACTTCTAGAAGGTTTTCTGCACAAGATCATTACTCACAATGTCCTTGTTTGGAAGACAACCTGATGAGCAGTAACAGTACAGATCAAGAAGTGGTTTCTAGTTTTTTTCTTATTTTCCTTATTATTGTGAGAAACAAAACACACAGTAAAGAGACATTAGCAAAAGAAAAGCACTTAGACCTAGTAACAGCTGACGGTCTTACACTCAATACATTTAGTCTCACTATTTGGTCATTTATCTGGATGGCATCTCAGTCTTGCTCTTGAACATGATTATGTTAATCTGCTTGGTAGCCATGTGCTTCCTGAGAGTATTTGGCTTCAGAAGTCAGAGAAACACACGGCACTTTTAAGGTCTTTTTCTGGATGCTGTTGCTACCTCATTTAACAGATTCCTCTCTGATGATATCTCCCACTGAAAGTACAAAAATATCATGCTTGCAGGACCTTCTGGGGTGCCTCAGAGAGCAGCAGCTTTTACTGGGAGCACAGACACCAAGATGAGCTCCTGACACTGAAGAGATCACAGCTGTGTGTAGCTCACTAAGACGTGGAAACAATCACCTGTGAAATAATTACATACACTGCAAGCAAAAGAGAAAAAAGTTTGAAGACTAGGACCAAGCACTTCCTAAAGTCACACATGCAAGGAAGAACTGTGGTGGAGAAGTCAGGGTGGCAACAAAACAGCTCTCCACCAAAACACAGCAGGTTGCTGTGAACCAGGCATCTCCAGACCAGAGCAGACCCTGCAAATGCACTTGTCAGGCTTTGCAGATGTCCTCTGCCCAGGGGCCAGTAAGAACACTGGCCTGAACTGTGGAGTTCAGGGACAACAATGAAGCAAAACAAAAACTTCACCAGCTGCAGAAACACCAGCTTCACCTGGACTCTCAGAAGGTAGGACAGCTGTTCAAGTATGATGTTGAGACTAGCAGCCATGGGGAGCCGAGACCAAGGAGCTCTATATGGCACCAAACTGACTTTTCACCAGAGCAGATCCATGAATCAGAAAAAGGCCTCCCATATTCACATATGTTCTAAGCAACATCTTAAAAAATTTAACACGAATTTGTCACCCTTGCTTTTTTGGTGTCCCCATGAGATGAAACCACTGCTCCCTCATCAGCTATGTGGTGTCATTTGTACCAAAAATAACACTTCTGTTCTGAATCATGTCTCACAGCATTAGCAGTGAAGACAGCTACTGCCCAGCACAGCAATTAATAAAACAGGAGTCATGCCCAGAAGTGCTAGACAGCAGCACATGTGTGAAACTCAAAAAGTGCAACAGCAAAGCCACCCACACAAAATCAAAACACACATTCACAACTTGCACTTGTTGGGTATCTGAAAAGACTCTTCCAACATTCCACCTGCATCACAGGAAAACACTTGACTTTCTGGGCACAGCTCAGATGCCCACACAAAGCAGCAGCAGTCTCTTAGAAGGTGTGCTGTGACTGGCTATGCAGACCCTACAAGAAATCCAGGATCTCACTTCTCTGTACGTATATGTACCAGTAAGGACAACTCCAAGCTGGATAGACACCCAAGCTAAAAGAAGTCCTCTTAATGGAAGTAGACTCAGAAGAGACTACTGCCATTGCTAGTCAGAAAGCAAAACAATTCCATGAACTAGCTACATAGAACTAATGGAGACTGTCCTGCTAGCCATCTCCCAACAGGAATCCATAGCTGTGTTCTAGTCCTCAGTGGCACACATCACTTGTATCACCGTAAGCCACACGTGAGGTGACATGAATGACATAAGTGCAGGCTAGGCCAGCAGGAACTGCAGCAAGGTTTCAGTGAGGAAAAGGGCAGATGTTCCCCTCTCAAGCCATGCCATCTGGAACACCTTGGAAAGGAACTTGGAACAGACTGATGATTCCCTTATGTATCTTGTGAAAGCTAATTGGATTTGGGATCCTCTCAGTATTAAGAAACTTCACGTGGTGTCTTCCTGTGCTTTCTGCTATGGTTCAACAAATTCCCGTGGAATGAGGTGGTGCTAACATCAGCTTTGAGCCCAGTCACCATCAGTTTCAAGCCCTGCAATTAGACAAGGATCCTGTGATGCGCTTCTTGCTCACACAGATCATGATGGCCTTATGTCCCCAGGAACAAGACGGAACACGGCCAGACAGCGGCAGGGCCAACACACTTCTCTCCAGCATGCAGGTGTGCACAACTGAGCTGCCTGCAAGGCCTCATGTTCCTCAGCTGCTAGAAACCTGCTCCCAGCAAGAGGGCCTCCTAGCCACACCAGAAGCCTGGCCCTTCACAAATGCCTGACCAGCCATGCAGCCCTGCCAAGTCACCCGCCTGTAGCTGTAGCTGAGCAGCCAGCTACATCTCACTCTCAGACATCACCATCTCACAGTGAAGGGAAGCCATGCCCTTCCCTTCCAACTGCCTAACCTTGGTAAGGCCTGTGCCATCCCAATCCGCTCTTTGGTCATCAGACAGTGCTATCTCAGCAGCAGGGCCAGGCAGCGGCCAGCAGTGAATGGTTTCTGCTGCTTCCAGTGAGGAGGTCAACAAGCATCTCAGCCTGTTCTCATCCATGCGGCTGCTTTCCACCCTCAAGGATCTCTGCAGTTAACCTTACCAGCAAGATCTCTCCCGGCTTCTGGGGATTTGCAGGTCCACAGTAACACAGTCATGACATGAACTTACTCAAGTCATTGATGCTATAAAGACAACCTCTCAGATCTGCAGCAGCATCTGCAAGAAGGCCTAGAAGGGTAGCAGGAAACAACCTGGCACAACTGCAGCTACCTTCAGCAACTACCTGTTGTCATGTGAGTGTGACAGAATGGGAAGGACAAATATCTCGTTCCCCTACCACCCAATCTACATAGTCACAGATGAAGCAGTCATGAAAATCTCTGAGAAAAATATCACTGAGTGCTACAGAGGTGGGACATAGACTTTGGCAGTCACAAAGGGAATTGCCATTTTCATCCTCATGGTGGGGCTTCATTAACATGATAACAGGCAAAGTCTGTCACTGGCAGGACATCCTGTCAAGGCAAGTAACACAAATCTACCACAGCAGGACCAATGTTCAACAGAAAAGGAGAAAACAAAGACCTTTCAGTGCAACCATAAGAGTACGGATTTGCTACAACTTGGGTAAATGGAGGGCCAGGGTGGGTAACAGAAAACAAAAAACGACAGATGGCCAATGGTTCACCCCAAACTGGGAAATCGGGCAGCCACAGTCTGTCATCTTCAGGACTTGTCTCAGTCAACTTGTGCCGTGAATGCTCAGCCGCTCTCACAGGCAAGTGCTGACACCACTGCTGGAACAGTGCCCTCGAGTCTGTGCCAGCTACCTGAGGCTGCTGTGAGCCCAGGACTTCTGAGGATGCTGCTCACAACTCCACCCATTTGCACACTGTTTTGAGCTCAGGACTTGCTGGCACAAAGAAGCCTTCCCTCCTGCAGCTCCCAAGCAACTGCAGTAGCTCAGGAGTTACAAAATGTCCACAGCAGCAAGGACACTGGCCATGGATCTTGCCAGTCCCGCTTCAAACTGGCCAAGTTGAAACAAATTTAATCCAGTCACATGGCCACTACACAACCTTGCATTCAAACAGAGTATGATCCTCTTCTTTCTGAACTCTCCCTTCAGTATGTGAAGCTAACAAGCTAACAGGACAGCATTTGAACCCTTTGCAACAGCACAAGATATATTCTCCTCCAAAACTACCTGGGCCAAAGCAGACTTCACTTTGTAGCTTCTCCTTCACAACTGGGCAGGAACAGACACCAGAAACAAAAGCAGAACACCTACGTGAAAGCAGCACATGGGAGCAGAGAGATGACCAAAATAACAACACAAGATGCAGCACACTCCATTAGAACACCCGGAATAGGACTGACATCTACTTAATTTTATTTCACACATTATGAATCTTCAAGTACCTGGCCTTCCAGTAACTAACTTGGAGAGAATTGTAAGTGCTGTTTTTGCTCTGCCTGTCTGGGACAAAGGACCTCTGCCTTTTAGGGAAGTGCCACTTAAAAAACTGCAACTCATATGCACACACGGAAAAGGGAAGGCCTGTGCACACCTGCTCTCACATTTCTGGATCACAGCAGGATGGCTTGGCCCTTCTCTTCTCTGCACAACAGACATCTGACACACACAGGACTCATGCAGGTGACTGGGACAGGACGTGCCTACTTTCTGTGGCTCTTCCAGAAACAGCAGGCACCACGGCAGGATTAAGCTGTCGCGCTGCTCCGGGCCACTTCATACTATGCCACCATGGAAGCAGCACACCACTGCCTTTTCCATTCAATGCAAGTCTGGCTTCTAACCCAGCCCGCTGACCTGCAGAGGATTACCACCACAATCACAGCTCCAGCGGACTGAGCACAGCCACAATGAGAGAACAGCAAACACTTTCTCCCCACCATCAGCTGATGGCCCACAGCAGCCGAAAACAACACAGAAAGAGAAATGATGGGGCAGCAGCTGCCTAAGCCACCTGGATTAGGGAGGCTCAAACCGGGCTGAAAACCACCATGGACTGCTAACCCAGCAAAACTGCAGCTCCAGCCCTCGGCTCACTTCACCCAAACACACTCAGGCGGCTCCTGGCTCCCAGCACACTGAGAAGGGCCACAAACACTCATGCTGCAACACAGAGCTCAGGCAAGAGGCAAACACCAGCCACCTACACACAACCATCACCCTGAGCATGCACCACTGCCTGTCCCCTGCACACAAACCTCCTCCTGCCTTCTGTCACACTGGCCACAACAGCTCCCTCCTGAGCCTGGGAGGCTGTGACAGCCCCGCACTCCCTTGCTGGGACACCTTTGGCCAGCTTTCTCTCCAGAAGATGGAGCAGGCCAAGAGCACTGGGCAGCTATGGCACCTTCCAGAAAGGCAAAGGGTCATCCGTCTCCTTCCTGGGATACCAAACCACATTCAAACTTCAGCATCTCCAAGTGTGGCAGCCCGGATTCCCACTGGATCCCAAAAGACACTGCTGGCATAGCGGCATCCAAGGGTCCCCCCCACTTCCTTTCACCTTGCTCACACACACACACATGCACACACTGACCTGTTTACCACAGTGACATGCCTCTGCATGGGGATTTCTTTAGGTGATCCACTCCCAGCAGTTGAAGGCAAGGCAGACCGGGCACTGTCCACAACAGGTTTCACAGCTCCAGATGCCACTTCTCTGCCTCGGGGCAGGCGAGAAACAGGCTTCTTGCTGCCTTCTTCTGGCACACTCAAAGACCGGGGCTGTCGCAAAGTTCCTTTGGGCTTTCCTAAAGAGTTTGCAGATGGAGCCATGAGCAGCACTCTCCTCCACCCAACCAGTCTATTTCCACCTCCCTGGGCACCTCCTGCACTGCTGTCCAAAGGGTTTCTTCTTTTCTACCCTGGCCTGCAGGCACCCAAACTCCCACCACAAATCACAGGTGACCAAGTACAACACCCACAGGGAAACACACCACGCTGGCTTTCAGGCAACACTGGGATAAACAAGCTCTTGGTCACTTTGCTGTTTATGTGCTGGTTGTGCCACATCAATTCTGGAGGGTTCAAACACTTCTGAGGGGTATTGCTGTGCAAGACAGTAAACCAGTGTGCCTTTATAATTACTGTTGTTTAACTGGGGTATGAGTCACCAGTTCAGCTTCCCAACCAGAGGGAACTATTGGCATGGTTGCAGGAGAGCAAGAAGCAGCAAATCCTTCCTTACAGACAAGAGGAGAAAAAAACAAACTAAGACCCACTGTTGCTCCAAGTTGCCAACTTGCAAGCAGATGGGTCTTGCCTGGGCCTGATCCTGGGCCCACTCCCACAACAGCACAGCAGTGAGGGAAACCTGACCCACTACCTTTGGGAAAAGCTACAGCTTACACAAAAGGTAAGAGGTAAAAAGAGCAGACAATGGGCATCAGAACTTTTGTGGCACTAGTGCACCGGTATCAGCAACAGGAACTGCTGAAAACAGCCACAGATGATGCTGCAGAGACTCCTTCTCACTGTGAGGGCATGGCTCACCCCTGCCACTCCATAATGAGCCAAAGCTGGCCTCAGAAAATGAGCAGGCTCGTTGCCACATTTCTTGCCCACATCTCAACCACACCTCTCACAGAAGCAGGGACACATGAAAGTGAAGCCAAGAGTCCTCTAAGAACTTTTTTTTTCAAGATCATTTGCATCTCACATACACGCTTGAGAAGGGCTTCCTCTCTAATCATGGCTTTCAAGCATAAGCACCCTTGTCAACAGCACTCCGTCCTCCCGGGAACTCTCCACCAGGACCACGCAGCTCATTGCCATTAGTGATGCACCCTCCTGGCGAAGACTTTTGCTGCAGCAGCTGCACAGTTCTTTCATAAAGGCAGGCTCATGGCTTACCTGATAAACTGACAGGAGATGTGTTCTTCAGCCTCATCTGACAGTTCACCTGCCGGACCGTTTTCTTCTTGGAACTCCTCTGTCGGGCCACCAGTTGAGCAACTCGCACAGTTTCACTGCAACTCACAGCATGGCAAACGACCTTGTTGGAGCACAAAGGGGACAGGGAAAAGCAGTCAGTGAGGCCCAAGCTCATCCACAGCCCTCATAATGACTTGCATCCATTTCCAAGCCTGTACCTGCTGGGTCATGCAGATCTGCAGGCAGTTCAGGAAAGGCTTTGGCAGACACTGATCTTGAAGACCTCCCTCTCTTTTTGCAGTGAACCTTAGAGAGCAGCAAAGCAGACAGCCAGAGCCTCTCTATCACCTTTCCAAATTAGGCTGAGCCCCTCCAAGAAACAGCCTGGTTTCTCACTCCCATACCACAGGCCCACAATCTTGCTTTACAACATTGGGAAGCCTGGGGCTTCCAGCCTGCTCACACTCCTCTTGCCAAGGCTCACTAGAGGCTCTGGCACCACTCTGACCCTGCGGAGCTGAGCTGTCTTTGCCCTGCTTACCCAAGAAACAGCACAACTATCCTGGCTGCACAGATCGCCTCACAGGCACCGAACTGGCCCCCAAAACCAGCCCAGCCTTGGACAAGCCCATGGCTATCTCCCTCCCAACTTAATGGCCTTTTGCCTCAGAATCCCCTTGCCACAGGCCATCACTTGAATGGATACAGAATCTGGCTTTGGCAAGCCCCCAAACCACGTGTCTCGTGTGCACTTTGCCTCACAAAGAAGATGCAAGCCCAAAGTTTTGGGCCACTCAGCTGCTGCAAAGGCAGGATGAGAACTCCTCCAGGGCTCCACAAGGACACAAGCAGTCACCCCGAAAGTTAAAAACTGAAGTCTGTGTTCTCAGCCACAGTCTGTGGTGGTGACAGAAGCTGAGAAAAGGTCCCTCATGGGGCCAGCACTGCTACCTTCCTAACTATGCCCCCAACAAACACCGGAGCTGACAACTCAGCACAGGAGAAGGGCAGGAGAAACTCAGGGACTTGGCCAGCACCTCTGAAGTTTAGCCAACGGCAGCTCTAGAAAGGACCTGTTCTCACAAGCAAGGCAGGGCAACCAAAGCAGAAGAACTGAGTGCCAAGGCAAAAAAACCCCAAGAGATTGCTAAACAGTAACAGCTTCTTCAAGGGCTCTCTCAGTCTCCCAGGGAGTCCCAAACAGCCCAGAAAAATATGGGCAAGGGATGACAACATTTGGAACCAGGCAACACTCTTGGCCTCCACCACCACACTCCAGCTCATCCTTCCCCTCCTCTTCTTCCTCCACTGCACACCCACCATGTGTGCTGGGCTGGCTCAACACGGAGCCACTGCAGGGAGGGCCTCTCCTTCTGAGGGACAGCTCTCCTATCCAGGGGCTCCTGCTCAGAAATCAGACCTGCTGTGCAGTCAACACCCATACAAACAGCAATCCACCATCCACACCACTGCAGTGATTAAATGCCAGGAATCATAGAGAAATTGAGGACTACATCTCTGTAGTCCATGTCATACAGCATCTCTGCTCAGAGCAGCATCAACTAGACCTAGTTACTCAGTCAGGTGGTGGAATATCTCCAAGGACAGAGAACTCTCAACCACTCTGGACAACGTATTCCACTGTTTAGCCAGTCTCACTGTAAAAAAGTGGGTGGTTTAATGTTTAAAAGGAATTACTTGTATTTTACTCTACTTCCCTTGTCTCTTGTCTGTTCACTGAATACCACTGAGAACTGGAGATTGAGTCTGACTCCACGTTTTTTTTACTCCCTCCAACAGATATTAGTACATACGGATAAGATTCCCTCGAGTTTTCTCTTCTCCAGCACAAACAGTCACAGCTCTCTGAGCCCTGCATCAAAGCTGTTCCAGTCCCTTCATAATCTTCACTGCCATTTACTGAACTTCCTTCACTGTGTCCATGTCTCCCTTTGTTTTGGGAAGATGCAACTTGAACAATCACCTCCATCAGACTGCTGGTAACACTCTCCGTAATGAATCCCAGCATGCTGTTATGTCCTTTGCTGCAATGGCACATTGCTGCTCACTGTGAACTTTGTGTCCATCAGAACTCCCAGGAATTCCTCTGCCAAGCTACTTTTCAGCTGGTCAGCCCCAAAACTATACAGGAACATAGGGCTGTTCTTCCCCAGGTGCAGGACTTGGCATTTCCCTCTACTGCACTTCATAGGGTTCTTCCTGTTCCATTGGTAACTGGTCTCCCAACGGGGTTTGTGCCACTGTTATGGGAGAGACTTTTAAAAGCCTTACTAAAATTCAGATAAACCACATCCAGTGCTCTCCTCTCATCTATTCAGCAAGTATTCTCATTTTGGAAGGGTATTAATTTGGTCACATATGATTTTCAATTCATAGATCGACACTGACTTGCCTTCTTTTCTTTCAAATGCCTGGAACAACTTTCCAGATTAGCAGCTCAGTAACTTTCCCACAGTTCAAGGTCGGGCTGATCAGCCTGCAGTTCCTTCTTCCCACACCTCCTGGTAAATTCCTTTCAACCCTCAGAAACCTCCTACAAACTGTCCTTGAAGATAACTGTCACCCACAGGTGCACCACAAGAAACCCATGCACTTGTGTACGTTCACTTTGTTCAAATATTCCCTATCCTAATCCTTTCCCAAGAAGACTATGACTTCCTTGCCCTGCTCTTTCCCACTCTTCTCAGCCCATCCCTGCATATTTCCACAGTGCCTCTATATCCTTTCCACTTCACTCAATTCTGCTTCTGCCACTTGTGCACGTGCCTTTAATGGTAGACTTAAGTCAAGAGCTCCCTCTTCACCATGTGTCCCTCCTGCAACCTTGCTTAAGAGAAAGACTTTGTCATACAGCTGACTGTTCCTGACTGAGTCATAACTCATCTTTCTGAAAGGTGAACCTGAAATCCTTCACTCTTCACCCTTTCAGAGATGTCTGTGCAACAACCTGTGCTCGACAGCTTGAGCATGGACTTGATAAAGCTTTAGTGAAGTGAAAGACAGCAAAGGGTTGAAGTTCATTTGCTGTACCTTCTTTCTTCTAGATTTTCAGTTGTGCCTGTATTTTCTCCTGTTACCTGTACACTTAACCAGCTATTTTAAGGACTTTTTTCAGAAGCATGCTCTCAGAACTGTCAGTGCTTTGGGAGCACTCTGTCTTGGTCTACAAGTTCTTGAAATGGTCAGTAATAAATGCAGTCTTTCTTAGGCCCATGCACATTTGTTTGGCAGCATCTGTATATTCCTCCCAGCATGCTTTTACCTGCTCCCACCTCATGCATGCTTCCTTTTTATGGTTCAGTTTTGTCAGTGCTCCTGGCTCCTTTGCTTTTTTTCCCCCAGCTGTTGGAACAGATCATTCTTGAAATTGGAGGAGGCAATCCTTGAAAGTTTGCCACCTCTCCCGGATCACTCTTCTCCCCAGGATTGTATTCTATAGGAGTCTTCCAAGCAGATTCCTGAACAGGCTAAAGTCTGCTCTCCCAAAGTCCTGCATTTTTGATCCTGCTTTTTGCTCTGTTTCCCTCATTTCAGGCTTACAAATGTCATCTTGCCACTGCAGACAGGACTGTTCCCAGCCTTTACATCTGCAAACAGCTGTTCCTTGTTTCTAAGAACTGTGTCCAGCAGAGCATCTCTCCTCACTGATTCATCACTTGTGTCACGTTGTTGACATCAGCACACCCCAGAAACATTCTGGATTGCTTATGCTTATGGATGTCTTGTCCCTACAGCAGGTACGGCAGTGGCTCAAGTCCTCCGTGAGGATCAGGACCTGTAAACGCAAGGCTTTTTCCAGGTGTCAGAAAAAGGCATCATCTGCTTTATCTACCACTTCTTCCCAATTAGGGCATTTGTAACAGACAGCCACCACATTGCCCTTACACTGTTCTCTCCAGTACTCATAAGCTCTTGCTGTCTCATAATCTGTCCCAAGGGAGAGCTCCCAGCATCCCCACTGCTCCCTTACTTGGAAGGGTTCACAGAAACCCCTCCTACTTGCCACTGCAGCCCATCATTCCTCAGCAGCCTGTGTCAATCCACAGCAGCATGTCAGTTGTGTGTGTTGTTGTAACACCTCTCCATGACCCTCAATGAGATCACAGCCCTGAACAGCATGCAGGCTTCCAGTTTCTCCTGGTTGTATCCCAGGCTGTGGACAGTCATGTACCAGCACTTCAGAGAGGTGCCCAGATCCACCCATTTCCAGAGAAGGGTATGAGAGCTTTCCTCATCCTCCTAGCTCACAGGAGTGGATGAATGTGGGATGGATCACCTTGAACCTTGCTCTCAAAGTCTCAATATAAAAGGTTTTTTTTTCACAGAGTTTATCATAGTTTCATAAATGCACATTTTCACATCTAATTTCAGGTACATTTCAGGTTTTTCCTGTCGCTAATGTTGTAAGTAATTTTCAGCATTTTCTTCCCTTGTTTTCACATCACAGTGATTTTAAGTTTAGCAAAAATGATGGTTTGAGTTAGGATGAATTCAGATGTAAAAAGAGATGGGGTGGATGAGCATAGAAAAGCAGTCTTCAATTTCCTCCTTTGGGAGGGGCTTGGTTATTCAAGCAGAAGTCAAAGTTTTCTTATAGAAAGGTGCAACTACAATCTTCTTGTAAATGAACATGAAGCGAAGCAAAGCAGGGTTCCTTGAAATGATACAATCACCTGTTGCAGGTGCACAGTATTTCAATGTTAGTTCCCTTGCAGTGTTTTCTGTATGCTGAATTTAATTCTCATCTTGTGTGGAAACTGGAAGACATATCTACTGCACGAAATAAAAACTGTCAGCTTTCATCTTTCCTAGATTCAAGACAGCTAAATTAGTGTTCAGTAGTAAAAGAAATAAGGGACAATTTGTATCATTGCCTTCCCAACAGATGCAGCCTGTTCAGCATCAGTTACCTAGCCAATATTCACCTCACACAAATACTTTAAGCAGCATGTATCACGTGACAATCTGAGATCAATTTGTATTATTTATTGCCTACTTTATACTATTCCTTGTTGAATGCAATTTTTATGGTATGTCTTGGGCAGCTGCCCTAGCAGTAAGGAAAGTCCTAGCCTGCAGTCAGGATCATCAGCTGCTAGTAGACCCCTCGATGTGCATGCCTTTGCTTTCCTGCACCATTGTTCACAAAGAGATTAAAGGAAGAGGCAAGGGTCTTGACAGACATTTTGGAGATCAGAGTACTCCCAGAGTCATGAAGAGAGGCTGACTGACTGCCTGCTCTCACAGCAGGCTTGTGTGGACTCTGAAATAAGGTCTCAGCCTATAATGGAGCTCAAGTACTCTGGAGAGATATGAACAAAGAGCAAAAGCTCATAGTAACATATGGCCCAGGTCCTGTATCAGGAAAGCATGCAGGAGCAGTCCCAAGTAGTTACCAGCTACAACTAGTGCACAATCACACTTGCCACTCTCTGCTTAATGTCTGTCATGGGGACACTATGGAGAGTGGCAACAGGAGGGTCATCAAACAGACCGTGGGATCAGTCTTTGTGCCTCTCCTGCCTCCCAGGTATTCACAGGATGATTCCTCTCAGCTGCTTCAACCATGCAGAGCATAGCTGGCATTCCTGAACCAAAGCGAGTGCTCCTCAACTACTTAAAGAACCCTGTTTAGTCACTTTCTCCTTTTTCATCTCCTAAAGTCACTTTTCACTCTTGTTACAGCTGCTGCAAAGAAGTCACTGCCTCTAGTGCCACCCAAGAGTCCACAAGGCCCTCAGCACACATCGTATTAGAGGATAAACAAGGCTCTCAAGGGAACAGGAGGATACCAGATTACACTCTGCAAGGCCCTAGTTAGAAACAGATGGCTATGTGCCAGAACTACCACGAGGAAGCATTAAACTGCAGGATCACAAATGTTCTCAGACCTGAGGTACTTGCAATCATGCTATTGATGTAGCTGCAGCCAATGCAGGCTTGGAACAAGTGAAAAAGAATTCCAAACGTGGCTGTCTCTTGTAAATGGGCAAATTCTGACAGTTGTAAAAATGCAGCAAGGGAACCTGTCGCTTAAAAACAGCCACGTTTCCAGATATCAGTACAAAACCCAGGATGACTCTTGCCACACTCTTCACAGTAATGAGGGAGACTCAGTTCTGAGTTCTCAGATGCCATCTCGATCCAGCTGAGCAAACAAGGAAGCTCAGCCTTAAGTCCTGTGTCTCCAGACCTGCTCTGACAGCTATGTATGGCCATACACTGTGCCAAACATTTCTAGCTTTCTGCTCTACCTCAGTCTACACAGACTTCAGGAATCCAGACATGGCTCCAAGTGAGGGAGAGGCTGCAAGCTCTCCACTCTAACAGACCATTTACATGTTATGCAGCTACACCAACTATAAAGAGAATGCATTCTGACTCAAAACCAGGAATGCCACACTATTGGACAAGGAGGTTTGTGGTCCTAGCAAGCTGCTTCCGAGGTGGTAGCCACCAAGAGACACAGGCTAGTGTAGCAAGGCCAAGGAATAAGGGACAACTCTCCCACCACACTAATTCTCTGCTAAGCTCTGTTCCACTGTCTCCTTGACCTGTGTGATGACTCCTTGCCCCTTGCACACTTGCTAAGCTGAGGAATTGCAACTCTTGCACCAAGACACCTCACTTGCATGGGTTCTTCCTCACCTCAACATGTCTGTACAGTCCTGCCACTCTGCAACTCGTGACAAACAAGTCCTAGGCCCAAAGCAAGCACTGTCAGGCTTATAAGCAACAGCATTCAAAACAGCTTCACTGTAGGAAAAAGATGATGCTAAACCCCACCCAGAAGAGATGGTCAAGCTACACACACACGTAAAGTTAACCTTCTTTAAGGTCCCAGGACAAACCATCAATAACTCTTCCAGAGTCAGAAATGCTGAGAGAGGAATGAGAGCTCTAAAGCCACATAAACTATCTTTCCAGCCATAACACACATCTCCAGGAAGACACCCCGCAGCTTTACATCTTTTGCATACACAGCTTCACAGCTGGAATGCGCAGGCAGGAAAATAAGGGGCACTTGATATCTGTGTCACAGCTTCCACTTCTCCCAGCACTATATGCACACTATGGTATTTTTCTCAGAAATCCACAGGATAAAAAGAGATAAAGTTACGAACCACGAACACTTTGCAAACACAAAAGCCATTTCTGAACTGTAACTGATTCTTACCTCTCCCATTTTGTTCTCTTCCATTCTGACCACTCCTGGGATACTCTCCAAGTAGCCTTCCAGTGTGTCATATCCTAGGTGCCTGAAGGGAATCAACTCATTGGTCAGAGATCTGTATTCACTCTGAAGCTCTGACAAACGTACACCATTTTTAAAGGCATGAAGAACAGCTCGCAGTGCTTTCACAACAAGTTCTGGCTCCTGCATCTTCACCTATAACCACCCCTAAAAGAAAAAAAAGAAAAAAGCATTTTTACATACAGAGGCTAAAACTAGCAGCTTTTACTATTCAATTTCCCTCCCTAAACAAGCAAGGATTCAGCAGCTCAGTGGAGACTGTGATACTTCTGGGTAGACTTGTATGGCCCTGGTTGTGCCAGACAAGCATCATGTGGTACAGAACACATGGGACATGACGTTGTCAAAAAACACTACTGAAGGAGCACAGTAACCCTCATGCACGGGCTGGTTCTGCCAGACCACCACGACAGACCGCATGGCCAGAAGAGGGGCAGGGCCTGCTAAGTAACTGGCCCACCAAAGACAAGTGCTTGGATATTGCACGAGGGACACAGTAACCCTGGCTGCGTGTATAGGGAACGAGATGCTGGAGAGCAGTGCTGTGGAAAGGGCCCTGGGCTCCCTGGTTGATGGCAAGCTGAATCTGAGTCAGCAGTGCCCTGGCAGCCAGGAGGGCCAACCCTGTCCTGGGGGGCATCAGGCACAGCATCGCCAGCCGGTTGAGGGAGGGGATTGTCCTGCTCTGCTCTGACCTGGGGCGGCCTCACCTTGAATATTGTGTGCAGTTTGGGCACCACAATGTAAGAAAGATATTTAGTTATTAGAGAGTGTCCATAGGAGGGCCAGGAAGATCATGAAGGGGGAAGGTACACAAAGAGCAGCTGAGGTCACTTGGTCTGTTCAGCCTGGAGGAGACTGAGGGGAGACATCACAGTCTACAACTTCCTCACAAGGAGAAGCAGAGGGGCAGGCTTCTCTTCTCTCTGGTGACAGGACCCAAGCGGCAGGACCCAAGGCTCTGAAGCTGTGTCAGAGGAGGTTTAGATTGGCTATCAAGATAAGGTTTTTCATCCAGCAGCTGGTTGGGCACTGGAACAAGCTCCCCAGGGAAGTGGTCACAGCACCAAACCTGCTGGAGTTCAAGAATTGTTTGGACAATGCCCTCAGGCACATTATGTGATTCTTTGGGCTGTCCTGTGCAGGGCCAGGAGCTGGGACTTCATGTGGGTCCCTTCCAATTCAGAATATACTGTGATTCGATGACACATTACTACCTGCATGGCCAGAACTTCCACTGTAAGTGGGACAAGGGCCCACCACCCCCCACCTTGGCGCCCAGCACTCCCTCCACTCATACCCCATGGTGACACTATGGCTGCTCATCCCTCACCTGAGCCTGCATCCCCACACCAATGCCCACGTGTCAACTCCACCACGGAAAACACATGCACCCGGGCCATGCAATTTCTTACCCACAGGCGCACAATGCCTTGATTCCACTGATGCTCTTCAGAGAGAAAACCCAACAGAGGTCCCCAGGCACATGTTCCTCTGACACTGGGATTTGGTTCTGGCCTTCTGATTTTGGAGCCTGTGTTGCCCACTTCTGGTAGGGCCATGGGATGCCCACAGCCAGCCCCAGTGATACGCTCTGCATGACCATCCCATTGGGCTCTGCCCTGGCATGGAGCCTTCTCAGCCTGGCTCACGGGACAGATCTCTTCTGGACACAGGACAGGGCGTTTGCCCAGGCCTGCCTGGTGGCCACCTCACAGTGGTCCATAGCCCTCGGACACGTCCCAGCTCTCTGGGACACTTCTTAGGTGCTCCCACAACACGTCAATGCTTTCTCTGCAGCCACGCAAAGTGGGAGGCATGAACCTGCCTTTTACTTTTGCGTCATTACATTTCATTCACATCTAAGGATTCATTCCATTAGCTCTTTAGAAAGACTGCTTTATCTACCTTATGCCTATCATTTTACCAGTCTATTTAATTTATATACCTCTAGAAACACACATCAACATATCTACATACACATATATACTGATACACTCCTTCATACACAAATTTTAACTCTCTACATACTGTATGCGTTGTATAAAAATATTTTGATATCTGAATACTTCCTGGTATGAGGAAGCAGGAGTTGCAACACTGACAAAATGGCAGTTCCCTTGCACAAAATGGTAGCAGAAACCCACCAGCCAGGGGCTCCTGCCTGGGAAGCCTGGGCAGCGCAGAGGGTTGTTCAAAGTGGGGGCCAGTGCTACCTAAAGCCCTCCCAGCCCCCTCAGCTCACAGGCCTGCACACACTCCTGGGGGCTTTCCAGGAGCATCCCGCTATGGAATACCAGGCAGCTCCAGGCACAAGTGCTCCTGCACAGGTGTCCTGTTTGCAGGCCCTCACTCGCCACAGGGCAACTCCTGCCACAGGAACTGCCCCCCACAGCAGGGGACCGGACCTGGATGGAGCTCTTGCACAGCACAGGAACAACCCTGCTCTCCAAGCAGGTGCTGCACGCAGGCTCAAATCCCAACACTCATCACACTCACGTGCTTCAAACACCTCGTCTTCACCACCCACCAACTAATGTCTGCAACACCGGCACAGCCATCACCTCACTCTCCTCCAGATGTTCCAGCTCAGGGCACAACAGCAGAGTCCCCCACTCCCCAGAACACCAAGGTGAGAAACTGCTGCCCACGGACCTGCACGATCGATGCTCTCCCTCAATGGCAGCAGCGGCTGCAGCTGCAGCGCCGCCGTTCCAGACTCTGCAAAAGGCTGGGCTGCACTGCTCTCTGCAGAAGCAGCCCCTCTCCTCTCACAGCTTCCCTTCCTGAGGAAATCACCCGGGGCAACACACCAAGTCCAAAAGAAAAAGCTCAACCTCAGCACATTGCAGGTACACACTTCAGTCGCTCCCTTCCTGCACCCAACTTCACAACGGCCCAACTCAGGGGCCGGGCAAGGAAGGACAGCATCGAGTCCTTTTCTTCACCTTTCCCTGAACAGGTTTACTTCAGGCACACACAGCACTTTACTTACCTGACCGTGTCCCTCTGTGTGTACGCTCATATTTCCACACAGGCACACCCACGTACCTGCACCTACACACACAGCACTGCCTATACGTGTGGTCACACGTGCACGGTTCCTTAAACACTCTGCCCTTGCTGGTCCAGCGTCCTTCACTGACTGACCGTGGAACAATCTCTGCCACACCTGCCCTCACATCCTCCCATGCACAGCTACGGGCACAGCGGTACCGCACCCAGGAGGAGGAGCACACGCTGAACTTGCACACCTCCACACGGATACGGGCAAAAGCTACACTGGGCTCCTGGATCCTTCTCTCATCCTTTTAGAGACTTTGCAGCAGGTGTACTGAGCTTCAAAGAGTGAGAAGATGTGGTTGTCACCTGCTGGAAGAAAAACATTCAGGAGGTTCATGTCTCCTTTGGATCCACTCATTGTCATGGGGATGCCATGTGTGAGACAACCTGTAAGTGGTTTAAAGTTCTGACCATTTACAAAAACCGAACAGTCAAGCATTGAAAACTACACCAAATGATGCAGTTCTGTCTACAGTTGTTTTCCAAGCCACATTCATACAGAAGACACAGAAAAGTCGTTGAGAACCTTTTTTAGGGCCTTTACTCTTCCTTTTAAATAACAGACCCAAATTCTTATTTGGTTAACATGGCTCTTGAAAGTCCTCGTACCCAAACTACTTGAGTTTAACTTTCTGCTCAGGAAAAGAGTGACAATGAAGAAAACTTACAATAACCTGGGAAGGCAGTTTCAAAATTTTATTCAAATGAAGAAAGTTCACTAAAAAAAGAAAGGGAGTAGGATCATGAAGGAATGACATCATGCCATTATCAGACAGGTTAGTTGTATACCAGTAATAGAGAATTAGATCAGAAGCAGCAAACAGCATACCATAAACTATATCCTCCTAAACTATATTATGAGGAGTAGTCATGAGGACAATTCCCTTAGTTCAACGAGGTGGCAGATTCTAGGGTACAAAGGTTAAACTCAATCCAGTCTTAACCTTACACCTGACAACCTTCCCACTCCCACCCCGCAATAATACAGAAGGACTTGCAAGGCTTTCAAAGTCTGTACCCATTACTCCTTGTAATGATAACACCGATAAATTAACACAAAGCTACATAGCTCAGAGTGGTTTCCGAGGCTTTTTAAAAATCCTTTTTGTGGTCAGCTGCTTTAGGATTATGTCATTCAGCAGTTATGACATTCCCCCAGCGGCTCACTGCCTCCGGACAGGAGGACACTTCATTGGAAACACAGCCCGAGCCGCCTCATCACCACTAAGTCAGCGCACATCGCTCAAACCATCCCTGCCAGCATCTGAACCGAAACTTTTTTCAGTTTGCTTAGAATAGATGAGCAGGCTCCGGTGCAGAGCAGCGTCCGCACTGCGGATCATTAGCCGGGCTAAGGAAAAAAAAGGAAGTGCAGACAGCTCTCCCACGCACTCCCTGGTAGCCGCGCTTTTAGCAGACTACAAACACAGGTCTCTTCCGAAGGCACAAAGCGGTCACTAACCCGCTGAGGTCGGGACACTTGCTCTGTCACCACGCAGACCCAGAGCAGGAGCCGCCTCCCGCCGGCAGGCAGCGCCCGTCCCTCCGCGCTGCCTGTCCCCTCACTCCGCGAGGACTTACGCCCAGCAGGGCTCCGCTGCTTCCTTACCACCTCCTGACCCAGGGGCTTTCAGACACAGCCAGAGCCTCTTCCCCTGTCGCTGCCGCCGGCGCGGGCCGGGCCAGGGCCGGGCGGAGCCGCCGCCGCCGCCTCTCTCCGCGGGGCCTGGCACTGAGGGACCGCACGGCCGCTCCCGCCGCCACCGCCCCGCCGGCCCGGCCCCCGCTCCCGCCCGCCCATGCGCGGCCCGGGCGGCCCGGCCCGCCCGTCGCCTCTGCCCCGCCCGCCCGGCCTGGGCCGCCTGCGGGCTCCGCGTCCTGCCCTGCCGGGAGCCGACGCCTGCCCGCCCGGGGCCGCGCAGGGTTCAGAGGGTGCAGGTGCTTCTGCCCCGGCCGTGCCGCAGCAGGTCGCAGTGCCCGCTTCCCACGGGGCCGGTGAGCCCTCGGTCCTGTCACAAGGCAGCAGCCAAAATGAACTTCTTGAGAGAAAAGCTGAGGAATGACTGTTCAGTGCATCTCTCCTGCAGAGAACCAAAAAGTCACGGAATCTTAATGGGTTGGAAGGGACCTTAAAGGTCTTCTAGTCCCAGCCACCCCTGCCATGGGCAGGGACACTTCCCACTAGACCAGGTTGTTCAAGGCCTTGTCCAACCTTGGCCTTGAATGGTGCCAAAGTTGGGGCATCCACAACCTCCCTGGGTAACCTGTTTCAGTGTCTCACCACCCTCACAGTACAGAATTTTTTCCCGACACCTGGCCTGACTTTTCCTGTTTTCAGTTTGTACCCATTACTCCTTGTTCTATCACCACAGTTCCTGATGGAGTCCTTCTCTGGCTTCCCTGTAGACCCCCATCAGATACTGGAAGGTTACTGTGAGGTCTCCACACAACCTTCTCCACGCTGAACAGCCCCAGCTTTCTCAGTGTGTCTTCAGAAGGCTGGTGTTCCAGTCCTATTTGCAGCTTCATGGCCCTCCTCTGGACTTGCTCCAACTGTTCCGTGTCCTTATGTTGGGGACACCAGAACTGTACACAGTACTTCTGCAGGTCTTAAATTAATTCTCTTAAATGCCTTCATTTCTGAGTACAGAAAACTTCACTGAATTTCATCCGTACAAACCATTGCATGGTTGCATGTTCCATCAAGGAGGTACTGGCAGGTGCCTGTCTGCAGTCCCCTGGGCCTGCAACCCCTCTCAGCAGGGCTGTGGTTGCTCAGCCCACACCCAGCCTGCTGCCAAGCTCCAGGTGCTGTGCATCTGCATGGGCACCTCGCACATTGCTCCGTACTTCAAACCTGTAGATCCCACAGGTTCGGCTTTGAACAGCTGTTCAGCTGTTGCAAACTGCAACAGCATTCCCCTCTCTGCAGATGTCTACTTCTGAGAGTCAGACTGGAGGCTGTATCAGGTCAAGCTGCATGACAATAGAGAGTCACCAAAGCCAAGCCAGAAGCTGGCCCTGCAGAGGGAGCCTGTAGGGACACATGCCAGGCAAAAGGTGGAGTTGCTGAACCTCACCTGGGGTGTGCCTTCAAGGGGCTCCCAGTGATGGCTACCACCAATACTTAGTGACAACAACCTTCTGCTATGACCATGACAGCCTCTGGAGACTGGGTGCCATCAGAGTCCAGGATTCTCTGACCAGGCTTTTTTAGATTATCCACACATGGAGGGTCCAATGTTTAATAAAAAGTTTACTCATTTGAAGCTGTTTGCATTTATGAGGGTTTTCCATCCAATAGGGTAATACAGCAGTCATAGTATAAATACACATTAAATTTTGCAGACTATTGCATTTCAAATATATTATGAAATCACAATATAGTTGTCAATCTCATAACTGGTCTCTATAATATGTGTATTGTTACAACATTGACTGTCTCTAACTTCCAGGAGGGACTATGTATGTTGCAGCCAGCTGAAGCCTGGAACTCTCTCTTTAAAGGTCCTTTGTTCATTGTTTTTGACATTTTTGTACTTAATTGCACTAAATCTAGCTGTCAGAGCTAAAACAAGAAAAACAGAGTCGTAGGCCAAGAGAAGTTCACTCAGAGTAAACTTCACAGCCCGTAGCCTGGGGCCTTGTAAACTCAGTACCCATGCTACTGCCCAGAACTCTATCCTGGGCCTTCAAAAGCAGGTCTTACTTTTTTATTTTTCCTTATCTTGGTCCAGCGTGACCATAATTTTGTAAAGACAATAGTTGGACACACTTGTTCTATGTCAAATGAGATATTTGCAGCACTAACACAATGATGTAGTGAGAGAAATACATGCCTGGCATGATTCTGAAGGCCTTGAGAACTTACAGCAAGAATCGTAAAAGAGTACAGATATGAAGTGGGAAGAGATGGGACACAGACTTCACATTGCAGACTCCATGGCAATTAAGTCAAGCAGGCCAGCATAGAGAGTGTGTATTTGGCTCCTCTCAACAATAAATACAAGCTGAGAACTCATGAAGCTAAGAACTTGTCTAAAAGACATCACAGCGGGGAGCATATTTCATCCCTCTTCACCCTCTGGGCCTGGTGGAGCAAGCCATATGTACATGGAATCTGAAATTACAATCGCTGTGGAGTGTGGTTCTTCTGTCAAGATGTGTAGCTCTGCTCCTCAGGCTTGCCTCAGAGCTTGTAGGTTTCGCACTGCTCCAGCTCTTAGCACAGGTGGAGCCACAGCAGGAAAAGTCTTGTGCTAAGAGAATGGCAGGACTCTACAGAAACTGTAAAACAGTAAGTTAAATACCTGTTATAGTTGCCTGATTTGAAAAAAAAAAATTACATATATATGTAGTTAGATTGGAGTCATAAGGTCATAGCATTAAACAGATCTAATGCATACACAAGTTGTGTTATTTTAACAGCAAGTATGCTTCCAAAACTAGTTCTGCATGAAGTTTGCATTTCTTAAAGTCAGAGACAGTTATATAACTATTCTTTATGCTTATCTGATTCAGCCAATCTGTCTGAAACAAAGATATCCTCTGGTTCCCTCTGGTATTGAAATGAGTTTGTTTTTTTTGCAACAGTTGTGGTCAATCACTCCATTATTGTCTCCTAAGCCTCAAGGACATGGAGCCTCTCCTTAACTCTCCAGAGCATGCCTGCCATGCTACATGGGGGGGAGGGGGGCAAAGGGGTCCTTAAAAAGGTCACAGTCCCATGATTGCAGTGGAAACTGGGAGCCTCTTTGGAGCCCACTAGATACTAGCAACTCTCCTGAAGCTTCCTGTCCTGATTGAACATGAGGAGATACAACCTGGATGATCAGGCCACTGCTGGGGACATACAGCTGTTTCTTTATGAATCACATTAGACAACTGTTCCATGAGCTTATCAGCTTTGCTCAGTCCTCAGGCAGCATGGGTGCCTACAACCACATGCGGCATGCTTGCCTTCCTGACATGCATGAAGGAAGTGCCATGGCCTGGCAGTTGCCACAGTGATGGCTACAACTCCAGCCCCAGCCCCAAGTGCATCCTAGACTGGTAGCCCTAAGGTCCCTGGGTACAAGAAGCTTCCCAGCACTTCATGCAGCATCACCCATGAGGTCCCTGCAGCAATGGTCTCCTCAACATTTGTGGGGAGGCTCTGATGATGGAGCATGTTCAGTGTGGCCATGTGTGCAAAGCCAGTAGGAGTCTCTTCCCCAGACTCCTCCTGACAAAGGAGACCAGCCTGAGCTGCTCTGGCTGCACCCCCACTGTCCCTGGAATGAGGTGGAGCCAAAGGAGGATATGGCTGGTTGCTATGCTGAGGCCTGCAGCCAAACCTGCTCTGCTCCCAGCAAGAGTAGGCAGTGCTCGCCTGGAGTCCCAAGTTGCCCAGGTGAAGGAGGGCAAGCAGCTTCAAGGTTTCACCATGGCAAGAGGTAGACTTGACTCCAGTACTGGGAGTGAGTGGGGGATCGAAGCTATAGTGCCAACAAGATGGTCAGAAAACAGAGACAGGAGCAGGCAGAGAAGGAGGTCAGGACACTGGCAAGTCACAAGAAAGTCAAAGAGGCTTTTAAAGTTGTGAGAGAGGCCAGCAAATCTGGACTACAGCAAAAGCACCTAAAGAAATAATGACAAAAACTACTAATCTGGAAGAAACAGTGCCCAAAACAATGCAAGAAGATAGGAGTGACAGAACACACTGACGGGTATCGGAAACTTAGGGCTCAGGGTCATGGACAGAAGACATAGAAAGGCCTCTGTGTAGGACAGAGTTTCCCCAAGCAGTGAGAGGTCTGTCTTGCATCCTAAAAAATTCTTTCTCCTGTGCTCCTCAAAATTTCTGTGGGTAGGAATTGGCCTAAACTAAGTGTCTACAGGGTGCGGCTCAACTCTACCCTTATCTGTCCAGTCAGGAATCTCCCTCCCTCTCCCTCCCTCACTCTCTCTCTCTCTCTCTCTCTCTCTAATGCATCTTGGTCCTGAAGTCCAAACAAAATTTTAGGGAAAATTACATGTTTCTTCAATGTGAATAACTGTTTCTTGTTTCTTCTGGGCATGTCTACACGGTTATGGTAGTGAAGCCCTGGGCATGGAGCATAAGATTAACACTTTCACTATCTGTTCGCAATGCTTTGCTGTAGGATTGAACATGAGATGGAGAGGTTGCAGCATGCAAACCTGAACAGTTGAAGGACATTTTAGGAAGCTGCTCCTGGGCATTTCTCAGCTGCTGGTAAGTGAGCCACAGAGGCGGGAAGGCTTGCCTCCAGCCTGGACCAAGCTGATGTGGCTGGAATTGTGAAGAGTGGGTAGGGACAGCTTCGTGAGCTGTCTTGCTCTACTGATTTCTGGGAACGTGTCTGTTTGTGCTAGTCCATGGGGCATGCAGCACAGTCTTGCTGCAGACTGAGTGTCACACAAGGAGTGAATACAAAGAGTTACTGGCCTACAGTCGTTTGGTTACACTCAGTGTGTTCCTTGGTCCCATGCAGGCAGCTGAAAAGCAGTGGAAATTTCTGGGAGATCTCACAGAGTTGGGTAGTGCCAAGCACTT